GCGGGCGCGTGTATGCGGAAACAAGAGAGGGTATGAGCGAGTTTGCTTAAGTGATGATAAGACACTAGACAAGAGGTGAGAGATGCAAGCTGAGAGATGTTATATGCGAGGTGCCAAGTAATAGATTTCAACTATGCTCTGCTGGGTAGTAAATGGGTATTGTTGTGGTTCAGTCCTCTGTCGTTCTGGTGGGAGAGTAAGTCAGTAATAGTATGTACTGCTGGTGCTTAAGTATGGCGCCTAAGCACTGTCATGTGGAGCCGAAGTGCTACCGAGTAAGGTATGTAAGGATATATGTAAGTAAGGGTCCATGATAAAAATAAAGATGGAACGATATGCAAATGTGAGAAATGGAAATATACGCACTAGGGAACTTGGTGGACAGTGGATGGATGCTTCCGGATGGCTGGCACTATAGGGCGCTCAAGCGCGGGAAAGCTCGCGTGCATATACATCGTGAAGCGCGGGAAGTTGCGCGCACATTGCGCGATGTGCGGGAAAGCTGCGCCTCATGTAGGAATAGCTGTAGGAAGCATACAGAGTGATGCTACAAGTTCGTGCTGTATACTCCTTGGTGAAAACTGCAATATTGCACAAGGAGAGGCATGAGTCTCTACACCGCAACAACGGCACTGAATGTTGAACATTCAACATACTATGTATTAATTCCATCATAGTTGTGCTCGCAATCTTGTACTCATCATTTTCATCATCCGGAGCTGGTTCACCATCCCAAGCTCATAGGTTCATGCCATATTGATGCATCACACACTGTAACTTACTAACTGTAGCGCTCCATCAATGCATCATTGTTGCAATTGTAGCACCCTTTACTTTTCATGCTAATGCATCCCCTTTGCTTGTTGACATCGACATCCTGTCCGTCTCATCCCACCCGCCGCTTGATTTCTTGTGCCCTCCCACCGTCTGGTGCCCTCCTGCCATTCTACATGACAAACACAACTGTTGTTCAAATGATGTGAAGTGGCACAGCCACGGACCTTTCAAGGCATTATCCTTGTCCATTTCGTTTGGTACTGCTCCCCACGGCAAGCCTCAATATTGACATACTTACTCGTGTATTCGTGGAGTGTTCCTTCTCTTCTCGCCACCATCATGTGGTCTTGCCGCCAACACCCCTCAAGTTACTTGCTCACCATGTGATATGCCACAAACGACATCGCTTGCATGACCCTTTGTGAGTTTGCATACACCACATTCCGCTTAAATCCAGAGAACGAGAAGGTTCTTAGACACCAAGAACTGGGTGTTAGGGAAGTTGCCGATAAGAGCGCAGCCTCGTATTCCTATCAAGACCAGCAGCATTGCAGAGAACAATGCGCCCATTGAAAAGAAAGATGGACTACTACTATTAGTGATACTTCCAGTGACGACGCAAGAACGATTTGGCTTTCTCGATATTGGAGTGCGGCGCCCAGAGTTTCATCATCTTTTAATCAACACTGCCCAAAAGCATGGCGTCGAGATCAAATGGGGCCATCAAGCCATTGAATTCAAGCAAAGCAAAGATTCAGTGGAAGTCATGTTCGCGAATGGTACCAAGAGGTAATGCACGCGTGAATCAGTCCCCTTTTCAGTGTCAGGGCTAGCAGAAGATTTGATTAAGATACTTAGCATCTACACAAGTTCGAGGATTCTGTTTCATGTAGTAGGAGCTGTCACTTCTCGATGCTTAAATTGATTGCGGGTCCTGTGAGCATTGAGCTGGAGGGCCCCGCTTGCCCTAAACTCATTCTACGAGCACCTGTCACCAGTGCAAGTTGATTCAAAGTTCATAAAGGCAAGGTCCGATCTCAAGGCACGTGATCATACATGAACAGCACTCAAGTGATCCATTTTTCTCGTCCGTTTCTTTCCAGTGAGAGTTCAATTCATTCACTTCGCGTTCACTTAGGTTCAATTAAGATACTAATTACCGACACTTACAACTCCTTGTTTTCAACCGGACGACAGTGCCTTTCAAAAATCAGTTCCCATCATTCAACGCATCACTCGAGGTTCCGGAGAACGTTTAAATCAACATTCAAAGTTCAATGTTCAACCGTGATCGGTTGATAAATATGCCCCTTGCACAGCGATGAAAGCAAGATTATAGGGATATTTTAATTTTATATTCTGTTCTGACCAGTACATTACTACATTGGCTGTGTCCAGGCATAAGGAAGGCTGTCTCGAGGGGCTTTTCACTCCAGATCATCAAGATTTTGACGAGGAAATCAATGAACGGCTTACCCGCTTTTTCTGTGAGACAGCCACAAGCCTTCGTGCTCTCTCACTGATTGTATCCCTGTCCAGTGGTCCCTACGTTCTGTGGCGGACTCAGAAGTGCAACAAATTCTTTAATATATCATCGAGTGGGCCTTATCGGGACCTTTGTGATGAACATCAGTGAGTGTGTTTTTTTTTGATCTTTTTAACATGCCTGTGCTCTGGCAGTGTTGGCTGTGCAACTTTGACTGCTTAGTGCAAATCTTAGATCAGAATACAATCTTTGAATCAATGGGGAGGAAACCGCAGCGACCTGTACATCATCAGCTCACATCTCTTCCCTCATTATGGGACTCATGGTGGTGACTCCCTGCAAGCCGCCCATAAGCTTGGGACTGGTTTCAGAACTGTGGGGTGTGTGCAGGCACGAACTACTACCCGGTCATCATAACTGCTCACTGGAACAGAATGTTATCCATGCCCGTATGGCATACTGACATATTCATATGATAACTGTTTTTGATCAGACACATTCAGCCTTCTTCAGGCTTGGGACTAATTTACGGAGGCACACTTGAGACTTAAATAATAATAATAATCTTTGATTGGCGTACCCAGTTCTCCCAAGTGAACATGAACTTTTAGAATTGAGCAGCCCTATATATGTAGGGCATGGGGATGTCCCCTCTCATTGGAACCCACAGGCTCAAATTAAAATGAGGTGACCAACATACGATTTCCAATGCACTCGCACTCCACAATTTATCGCACAGTTAGTTGTGTGTTCATGCATATGGGCACCTCACCCTGTGGGAATAATGCATTATCCATTGTAATTACAAGACAAGGGTAATGCATTAACTATTGTAATAGCTAAATGATACATTAAATTAATTTACATAATGATAACAGTTAATTTTAGTTAGAGTTTGAAGTTAGATGTTAGATGTTAGACAGCTTGTTAGACAGTTAGAGGTTAGTAGTTAGTAGTGTTTTAGTGTTAGTTAGGGTTAGTTAGTGATTAGTTAGTGGTTAGCTATGATTATATTCTGCCTTGGAAAGTGAAAAGTTAAATTAAAGTTAAATTAAAGGCTGGTTCACTGATAGTTACAATAGTTAATGCATTACATGTGTTACAGGCATCCGTAACACCTACAGGAGTCCCCACTCCACCTACACCAGTCCCCGCTCTACTAGACCATGAACGCGGCGGTGCACCGCCCGCACTTAGAAGAACAGCGGCCTGGACCGCTGTGACACCGCCCCTGGCCTAGATGGCCTTGTACCTGATCCATGGAGGCTGTACACCTCATGGTCACCCTAGATCAGCACATGTATACCACATGTCGCTTCATGTAGATCCGGAGAGCCCTTGGCACCTCATGTACTTATGCGCAGTCGCACTTGGCACTGCATGCTTGATCAAAGGTTAAGCCTCATGTACCTTATCTGAACCTCATGTCTGGTTATCATAGATCCTTGATATACTATAGATTACAGACTGAGCTTGAACACTTATAGTTAGACCCTATAAGTAGACAGATTATTGTACTTAGACTTTACTTTAATCTACTAGGTTCATCCCAGAACTTGTTCAGCTAAAGCCTCCCAGCTCAGCTGCCTAAGACTGCACTTCTAAGTAGTGATGTTCCGGCCTGGCTTTGAGCCCCGGGCCAGCCGAAGCCGGGCCTAATTGAGCCGGGCCTAGCCCAGGCCTAGGATATGGCCTGACCACGGCTTAGGCCTAGGCTTGGATTTTGCGAAGCCTAAGCCGCCGGCCCAAGCCGCGGCTTAGACTATATACTTGTTGCGCCAGACAGCTTTCCCACAGGTGAGCGCAAAGTTCCTGGAATTCGTGCTTTGGCATCTCATTAGCAACTTCTTCCTTCATCATACCATACAATACTATGTCAGAGAAATCATAGTGAGTCGCCATATGTTGTCATGTCATTTATGTTTGAAAGCTCGCTGATACTTTCTCCGGTGTTGAAACGTTGATAAGCAATCATCGCGTGCGCCGTGTGTTGCTTTCACTGTCAAGTTCGATCCACTCTCTATACTCTGCACCACCACGTCAAGCCCCAATCATGGCATGTCAGAAGCCTCGTTTAGGCTGGGTCAAGCACCACTCACACCACGACAAGTTCTCCCAACAAACCTTGTCCATGCCGCGTCAGATTATGAGCCAACTTCTTTACCAGCTGTGCCGCAGAGCGCAAGGCCCTTCTGAACACCACAAACAAGCTATGCAACGCTGCCGGCAACGTCTATTACAACGATAAATGCACTGGGGCGGTCTGGGAAGCGTGTAGTGCATTCAATCTCGCGTTGAAGGTCATCGTGGTACGTCAATACAATACAACTAACTCTCATTCTCGTTCTTCTCCTTGTCCTCCCTTCTCCTGATCCCGTCCGTATTCATCTGAGCCACGTCAGCAGTTGCTGATGTGTGCTGGGCGTTTGCGCATGGTGTTCGTGGTGTTGGGAACGGCATGGTGGAGCTCGGACATTGATTCAGCATGTGGGCCGCGGCTTGCATGGGCCTAAGCCCCGGCTTTGGGCCGGCTTGGGCTCACGGCTCAGGTTTGAAATCTGGTGAGCCTAAGCCCCCCCAAGCTGAGCCTAAGCCGGGGCTTTGAGCCCAAGCCGGGCCGGAACATCACTACTTCTAAGTCGCTCCCTGCTTCTTAGCCGTATCCGCTAGCCCTGTATCTCGACGAGCACTGTCTTACCAAGATCACTGGAGGAACCCTTGACGTTCCGTCAAGCCGAGAACCACCCTCAGCCTCAGTAGACTCACTCGAGTCGTCGCTGAGAAGACCTATCCTAGTTCGCACACACCAACCGACGGTCAGCATAACAACATGTGTCTTGTAACTATCATTAAACAATGCATTAATATGACAGGGTAGCCTCATATGGGCACTTTCCGAAGACCCTTGACATGGTGCTCAATTGGCTCATTTCATTCTGATCGAATTGCTAACCACATGGTCGCGCATCAGTATCGCATCGAGTGTAGTGCCAATATATAAATTGCACCACCTATGAACCAACAGAAGTCCGAACACCAGAGAAATGTACAATACCGAGAATGCAAGTAATACATAGAGTCAAAGGGGGTATCTTTAGGTGAAGTCGTGCCAGTTTAGCATCCCATCTCGACACCATTATATGGCCCATCGTGGTCAGACTCGTCACCTGCACGGCCTATCAGCAACACAAACAATCAGTACTGCTATCAAATACGTACCATCCCAGATCTCGGGGACATCACCAACAATGCACTGAGTGCTCGGGTTATCTTGCCCTAATGCCCAAGTATTTAGCACTCCGTTATCAGACCATATGATGCATGAACTCACCGGGGCAAGAAGCCCATTCACCAGGAGTCCTCGATGTGCACCTCGCCTGCAGGATGCACATAGCCCAAGAACATACCGGGGGCAGATGGGTATTGGGTCCTCTTCATTATTGATGTGCGTGAGATGGAGATTTCCGTCGACATAATTAGCAAATGCTTGATTCCCAACCTATTTGGGAAGAATTATATATAATAGCTGAGCGGTGACGAGACCTGGGGGTATCGTACACGAGGAAGGCCATAACCAATGGTGCGGAAAGTCGTTCCTGAAGGAAGCCAGAGGGGAAGATATACAGAATCAAGTAGGGTGATCGCAGCGCCTGTGAATATTTAATAAATAAATACAAGGCCAAATCCAGCACGAGAAATGCACCATACCAAGAGAGTGACCGACCATAGTAACCGACTCGGTGCCATAGATGGACATGGCGGATTCGACGGCGGCAAGGACATCAGTGGCAGTTCTTTGTGGAATCACGAACTCAGTGCCAGTACAGCCAATCATGCAGATCTATGTACACACCTGGCCTGAGCGTCTTTGAAGCCATTGTGAACTTTAATATCTGAGTTGATACCCGGAAACAATGTCGGATCTAGGGCGGTCAAAAAGAAGTCGCCATCCGTGATGAGAGGCAGACTGGCGAGCGTACATCAGTACATACTTTCAGGGAGCCAGAAGACGTAGCTCACATGTCCGAGGTGTCAGTGCCCTGGTGAGATATGATCACCGTATCCAAATTTGGGTCATATCCGACGAACCCTGTTTGTTTCGGTCATCGAGATCACATCTCAACAGAACGCTTAACTCAATGATGCTCACAGTACTGAATCGAGTCACCGTTGCCTCCGGAGGCAACCGGTTTGAATCCCGGATTAGCATCACAGTTGGCTGTTCGAAGATCATTCGTCAGCCATCAGAGAACAACAACACGTCCAAGTAGGTGCCTGTGATCACTCACTGCCACAATCCCATGCGAGCGTCTGCATGTTTGTGCAGTATCCTGCGCTAGCGTAATAGGTATACGGTGTGAATTGGTCGATCTGAGACGTCGCCAGAGCAGTAATACTCTGTCGCGCGCTGAGAGATGGAAATGCCTGGACAGCGGTGGCAAACAGGATGGCAGCGACAATGAACGCCATAACAGCTTTGCCTCGACTAGAACAGGTTGACCTGGTGTTGGAATACTAGTACTAGTAGCACGACTGCCTCCTGGTTATATACTGGTATGCCACATTGCCATCCAGAAATAGAGTCCCGTAAGCACAAGGTTCCCGTAGTATGTAAATCGGGTTGTTTTCGCTTTCTTCAAGGTTTAGACGGCATAGTAACTGGCTTGTGATGCGACCACGCGTGATGAAACGCATATGACCTCAATGTCATGGATCCGTGATATTCTGATGAGATGCACCGACGATCTAAACAGGTCGTCTCAGGTATCCCGAGGCCAACGAATTGTCGCTTACCTGGTACTCCCCGTGATCATGACTCGGATGCATATGGCCCGTCACCACCGTGACAGCTTAGCATTTGGAGAGTACAGACAACAAGATCGTGGAAAAGTACTGCCTCGGGCATGCGTATACAGATGTGCAGCCCCTTCAAACGAACTGTGCATCACCGAACGGGAATAGATCAGAAGCAATGTGCGTACTGAAATTTGAAATAGGAAGGTCGCGTATCTAGACCCAGTACGTTGAAGAGGCGATCACATGGTGTCCAATCAAAAAGTGTAATGCGGTTCGCGTAAAATACAATAAAACAGCTGCCAGCATGAGGATGAGTAATTAATTACACATGTGCATATAGGTGCATACGCTAACACCTGGACCAAATAAGAGCTTGAGTCCAAAATATAGATGCTGCTCAAATTGGGGGACATATTCGAAATGAATACGTTCACGTATCTGTCCATCGAACGTGTCCCAGGTGTACGGAACAGTTACACGTGTACATACGTACAGGCGCTAAAGAACAGGCGCTCGTCGCTGGTGGCCACAGTCAGAACATAGTTGCTTACTGTCACGTATTACATACCTTTACTTCATAGATACTCCACAATCTTTATTTATTATACAAAAATTTCTTCAAGCAAGATACAGCTCCTCGAGAAGGAAGGCCTTCCTTCTTGGTCCCACAGGAGGGTGCTCCTGGGCGCGAACTTTGGAGAATGCAGGTAAAAGCTTTTCCACTTCTTTCCACTTTTCTTCATGCTCCTTCGCAGCAGGTATTGGTCTCCGCCTGCCCCCCAGATGATTAAACGCGTCAACTGATAATAAACGTGGGAAAACGTCCGATAGAAACGCAGCAACTGCGAGCGGGTCACCGACTCTCGAGTCTCCTACGTTGAGACTGATGACTTTGGGCCTTCGAACGCCACCCCCAGGCCTCTGAGATGTGATATCTGTAGTTATAGCGTTCATAACGAGGCCGATACTTTCCAGCTGAGGACACTGTCGCACTAAAGACAGCAGACCTTTCAGGGTGACATCGCTATGTTGCCTCCAACCCCAGTGGGTTCCTAGCGCAATACTTTGCATACTGGGCCAACAAATTGCCAGTTGCGTTAAGGCGGTATCGTCCAACGAATATGTGCATGCAGTAGCAAGATCCAGTGTTGTGAGTCCGCGAAAGCGGGACAAGAGCTTAAGTATGTCAGGGGTGAGCGTGAATTGAGCAGGGAAGTCTGCGCCAGCGTCAGCGTAGTCTTCAATCTCCAGAATCTCCAGTCTTCTTGGTATGCACCGATCCAGGAGGATTGCTATCCATTCCTGTATGCCCGTTGCAGTTGTTCCATGTGGTAGATAACACTTCACTTCGCGCAGATGAGTAGATTTGACTTGCCGCATAAAAGCCGTGGCAAGGTTGATGTTGTATGCACGAAGCACCAGCCGGCGCAGGGTAGAAAACCCAGGATTCTCGACGAGCGACTTTATGTCATGCAACTTGTGGAGACAAATGTCCATACTTGCAAGATGCGCTAGCCGACCAAGTGATTGGATAGTAGCATCCGCAAGAGGCCCGGAGGTCACATAGGCAAGATTCGGCCATTTGTCGAACATGTCAGGGAGGTGAAGAAAGGGCCATTTGGGAAGATGCATGATCCTTAGGGACGGGCAGGCATCGTTGATGGAAGGGATTACGACAGAATAGACTGGGTCAGTTATAGATGACATATCAAGGAATTCGAGAGCAGGTGTCAGTATTAGGCGAAAAAATCGAATGGAATCTTTCCGCGAGTCAGTCCATCTGATCTTCCTCAGGTGAGGGAACACAATGGAGGAAGGTGGAGGGGATGATAGTGCACGCAAGATGTCTACACCGATGTCGTGTGAGGGGGAGTTAAGGACGGGATGTTTGTCTCTTCTTGAAACATAATAACCACAGGTGAGTACAAGACGCGAGTGTGAAAGGAATATCTCCCAGTCTGTAGAGGACATCTCTCTTTCAAGGATCTGCGGACAATACTCAGATGACGCCCAGCGAAGTCAGTGAACTTTGGAGGCGCTCACCAAAGTCGGGAGATCATCCTGTAGTTTTCCTTTGCTCTTGACAATCTTGACACAAGGGATACATCTGATTAAAGGGACTAGAGTTCCCAGGTGTGCCCATAGGACTTTCATCGCAGGCTCCCGAAATGCGCGGCATGTGCGACAGAGGGCGGCCAAAGTCCTAGCTGCCTCCTCTTCGTCGCGCTCGTTGACCTCTGCAAATATGTTGACAAGGATCTCTGAAACCAGTAGACATGGGTGCATTGAAGTTGATGGGACCATCATACATCACTGTTGTCGGATAGAATCTACGTCCGAAGTTCGAACACTACTCATAGAGTGCGTATGCTTGTGTTGATTAGTCATCAATCATTTCTCTTTGAAGTACTAGGCCAAGTGAGGCTTTATCCGGCGGAGAGCCGCCGCCAGCAGCGGTAAGTCTTTGAAATCTTCATGCGCATTGTAAGGGAGGCTCGAATGACTTCAACATCATGATACTAGAATATATACTTCACGTGCCAGAGAGGCAAAAATACCAGTCACATGATCATAATACGGTGGAAGTGGAGCTGTCAGGCTCACGGATCGGCTTTGCAGCTTGTAACGCAACTCCCATCATCGATCATTGATTTATTACAAGATCAGAGTAAGCGGCTAAGCCAACTTACAACTTGAAGTATATTAATATGCTTCCAACACCCCGAGTCTTCCGCACAGCCTATAAAAGAAACCGTTCTTCCAGCCCGAATTAAACACTCTCCGAAACCCTTGCTGAGTTCTAAGCCAAATCTCTCAGCCTGTAGGCCCAAACTCGAAGCCGATGGTTGTTTAACGCAAAAAAACTTCACGGTAAGGAAAAATTGCGTTGTGATCCCATTTATCAGTGACACGTCGTTATAGGTACTGAAACCCTCAGGCTGGGGCAGTCGAAATTTAAGCACTGCAACGAGAGCTGCGTGTCTTGCTTGGATTCGATGATAAAAATCATGGCCCGGGGACCTGGAGATGAGCGAATTTGAGTGCACTCTGTTTAATTCAAGACGTATGTAAAGAATGTTGATTTCCCTGGGACTGGCATCTGATCGTTGAACGTTGAAAGTTGAAGCTAAGTTTAAATTGCTCTGATTTGCTCATATCGCTGCTTCTTTGAGGGACATGCCGCCTCGGTCCTTTCCACTGACACTGATCAGAAGGCTCCACCTCAGCCCCCTGGAAAACTTCGAGCGTCAACGTTAAAAGTCAGCGCACGCTCTACGTGTGACATTCTTAAATTTACCAGCATAACAGAGGCATCATTTTCGTGTCAGGTTCGTTTAACCTCAGCACCGAGCATTGGGACACAAACTCTTGTCCAACGTCAAGCTCCAAGGCTAGGTTCCATATGTGTATGTAAAAAGGTGACAAACGTAACATCATTGCTCCATGGACTGCGTCACTTGCAAGCTATCACAGGTCTAGTGATGTTTCACTCCTACTCACAGTCTCTAGAGTACTCATTCGATTCCGAACCTACTGCTTCTTGTCTCCTCAAGTTGACAAGCAGAGGGTGCAACATGGAAACCTCCTCCCATCTCTCCCGATACAACATCCGAGTGTTGAACGTTCCATACATGTCAAACCCGATCTCAAACCCGACCTCGTAGCCCGTTATCTCAGCGTTCGGTGCAACATCCGACAAGAACGCTGCGACGGACAATGGGTCCGTAACCTTGGAATCAGCCACTCGTAGGACTTCCAGACCGTTTCTGCGGATCCCTCCTCCAGGTCGTCGATGGTCGATATCCGGTGCCCAGGCGTTCATAGCAAGACCGACTATCAATAGCACTGGGCAACGCCGCAACAACTCTGCAAAACCTTGCAGAGTAATTTTGCTTGGTTGCCGCCAGCCATTCTCAGTCCCCAGTTCAAGTGCACGCAGTTTCAGCCACGTGCCAGCCAGCTGCGCAAGCTCATTGTCATCGAGGGAAAACGTGCAAGTTGTGTCGAGATGTAGTCCCTCCATATAGCGCAGGGAGAAGAGCGTCTTCAGGATATCAAACGTGATGATGTAGCCAACAGGGAATTTCGGTGGGGATACCTGCAGATCTTTCATCCGTAAATGCCTAAGATTTGGACAGTGACATGAGATTAGACGGAAACACTGATGCAGCTCAACATCTGTTAAGCCCGTTTCTGTCGAATGAATACGGAGGGAGCGTAGCGATGGTAGCTCTGCGATTTCAAGAATAGGGATGCAGTGCAAGGTATGAGTCGCGGTGATGTCGAGCCCCTCAAGGGTGGCAAACACTGGTTGGCCGGCCAGTTTCATGAGGGCACTGTAGTCGTTCTTCTCGTCGACTTGAATGGTGAGATGCGTAAGCTTAGAAGATGTTGCGAGATGATAGAGCGTTGCATCATTGACTAGACCGCAGACAAGATTCTGTAAGTTGCGCCAACTCTGGAACACGTTAGGACGTATGTGCCTCATACTATATTTCTCGGGGAAACACGCGACGTGGAGAGAGTTGCTGGAGATGATGTGGGGGACAACACGCGGAAGAAGCTCTGGATCCAAATCGTGCAAAATAAGCCATTCCAATCTGGCGTTGACTAGAGAGCACAGGAGTGGTAAAGCATCTGCAGAACTATTTGACCACCAAAGCCGTCTGAGATGAGTAAACATTGGGGGTGCGAAGGGTGAAGTAGCTAGTGCATGTAGGATGGTCTTGTCGATGACTACCTCTTCTTGGTCATTGACCCTGAGCGAATGAACTCTTTTGGCGTAGTACTGCATTCGCTGCCAGTCTGAAAGGCGTAGCTCTTTGAACATAGTCTACATATGTGATTTCAGCATACTGTCGCGAACTATCGTGGATCAGCACTCACAATCTTATTTCCGATGGTAACGATTTCAGGGATGCAGAAAAGCAATGGGCGAAGACTTTCCAGCGACTTATACAGCACGTCGAGAGCAGGCTCATGGAAGAGGCGACAAGTTCTACAGAGAGCCGCGAGGGATCCTTGATGCCCAGTCGCAAGAACTCGTTTGCAAATAACATCGTAACAGCTCTGCGATCTGAAGACATTTGTGCATTTGGCCGTCTACGTCGTCCAAAGGCTACTGCTAAAAACTATCGTCAGTGACCTTTCATAAATGAGAAAGTAGGACTGTACTATTACCGATACTATGAGGATTTGATCAGACAAGAGGTCGGAGGAAAAGCACAGGACGCGAGCTTTTAACTTGATTCTGCGTGCAGCTTTGTACAGCGTTATCGATTGCAGCATCGTTATCGCGCATCGCACGATATCTGAGTCTGTCCAATGAATGTTTTCGAGAAGCTCGCAGATCCATTGCAGCCCTTATATGCAGAACCTTCATGACAGTGTGGAACTTGGATGGGAAAATGCTAGAACAATTGCCACAAGAATTCTGTGATCCATGATAACGAAATGCTCACCAATTCGACCGAACTTCGATGAACTGGAGCAATTGGAAATTGGCATTCGAATGTAGGAATATCGATGGGCGCAATACCATGTCAGGCTTGTCAGCTGGTCCAAAAAATGGTGGGCCGCAGAGTTTCAATATCGCTGGAAGTTCGGATACACTAGTCATGCCAACTTGAACTTGGCTTCGAGCCTCGACGAGCCTCGGATGGCCGAGGGATGTACTTCAAGTTGGGACTGACCTCGGAAAACCACTGTGAAAAAGACATGGCACTAGTTGACAACAAGACTGTCGACCAGCAGAGATTTATATGATTCAGAAAATGTAATAATTGAAAAAGTGAGTGTCACAGGACCAGACTGCCACCGTGAGTCACTGCTAATTCGTGCATTGAGTGATTTTCCCGAAAAGGAAATCTGTCTGTATTTCTTCTTGCACGGCGGCACTCCGAGGCACTCAGCTACTTCAAGTTATGTTCTCTCCAAAAGGACTTGGGGCATTGACACATGCACGCGTTCTGCTGCGCTCTAGGCAGCCATGTTCTTTGCCACAGACAGCATCGTTGAGTGGCTCATCGATCAAGGTGATTGAAACAGCGTGGTTGTCCTCGTGCGAGTTTCAAACTCTGCTTGCTGTAGTCCCTTCAAGATGCTTTCAGGGACCCGTCGTCGCCATTTCATATTGCTCCAGGACAGGCAGGTCCTGAATCTCCAGATTCTCCTCCCTCACCCCCAGACCCTACGGCATCTCAGTCCAGCAATCCCACTGCAGTTAGCTCGTCGGCAGAGAACGGGAGAGCTAAACTGCTTTCTATGGGTTATGATGCAGGGTCATTATGGGAGCAGAGTATTGTATGGGGGCACCATGATTCATTTCGGTAAGCACCTCATAGGCGTCAAAGGATAGGCTCATTGTCTTTCTTATCATAGACACGTTCAACAATGCACACTACCGTAAGGATTCCGATTTTCTTTGAACAGGGACTATAAGAGTCGCTCACGAATATGCCATTGTCAATATACAGTGCGATTTATTGAATCGGTCAGCAAATTCAAGTTGCTGTCAACGTCCGTGTGCACTCAAACTTGGCTAGGGTCGCATGATATGGCTAATGGCCCTCGGCAAAGTTCTTGGAGGTGAAGAACGTGTCAAGGCAATGCTCGCGGGTCAAGGCGTCTCACTCATACTCAAATCAGCAAACGTCAATTATAGAAGACCGGTGACATTTCCTGACACAGTGAGATTTCCTCGAAATTTGTTTAGAGATGTCTTTTTTATGACTATGGGTAGCTTTTGATTGGCCATAAGCCGATCATCTCTTCGAGCCGCACGCAATTCACTCTCAACGCTGCGCTTTATTCATATGAACAGCAAGCGATCGTTGCGGACTCGGATAGCGTGCTTGTTTGGTACGACTACGACAGCCTGAGGAAATGCGACCCAGGGGATGACACGTGGCGCATTATGAAGGCTGTCTCGCATGATGGTCAAGTGAAGGGCTGATTTCCGTATGCTTCGACTGAGCTGGAACTTAGTATATGCATAGTAGATTGATTTATCCTGAATACTTGGCGCTGGAGCCGCAGTGACTGGCCCGTCTCCGGCAGACTGACTCGGAGACTGGTGTGACCTTAACTAGCTTCGGAGACCCAAACACCTCAACATCACGAATGCCACATACAATATCCATGTCCGACATTACTCTAACAACTACTGGTAGCTAGGCCTGCATAACAACTCTACAACACTAGGTCATGCGTCTCGCGCCAATGTCACAACGTTATCTCAAGCGGCGATATCCAAAGTAACCACTACGCCTGTGGTCCACTACTACGTCAAGGAAAGGAACGAGAACAATATATTCCGCCCGCTGCTCATCTGTCGTCGTAACTCCAGTACCGAAAATTAGGCTCTCCAGAAGGCAACTTGACCGTGCCAAAAATGTCTTCAACTCTTCATGTGGCCACGGTCGTATATAGCGAGCCTCAAGTATGCGTAGATTGGGGAGTGTGAGTGCGTTGAACAAGTCAGGGAACAAATTTCCCATGCGCATCGGGGATGCATTACTGATGCGGAAGAATTGAAGGTTCGCGTGCATGAATGGCTCAAACGTCAATGGAATTTCGTCGTAAAAGCCTAGGCCAATCTCTAGCGAGGAGAGGTTAGGACCTAGCTGGAGCAACTGGAGGATTAGATTGGGTTGACAAATGGCGATCTCGACATGTGTCAAGTGGGCCCATACGGGATTACAAGAAGTGATGCGGTCAAAGTCGAATGCGGACGGCCCGGCTACCCTGAGCCTGCGCAAGGTGGACGGTAGTCGCGAGATGGATTGTGCGAAACTTGGGGTGCACCATAATGGATCGGATGTGGTTATAGTAAGCTCCTGCAGTACCAGGAGGTCATTTAACAAAAGATCGGCATCGAATGGGTTGAGGAATATTATGATATGGAGAGACGAGATTTTGCTCATGTGAGGCTCAAGAAGGCTTCGTAGGTGGGTCGTGTAATTTTTGAAGCACTTGAGTGCTAATGAGAGCGGAAGATCTCGCGATCGCTCGAACCATGTGTTATAGCAGGAGGCTGCCCGCTGCCAATCTTTATGACTGTTGTCCACAATCAGTGCTCCGCACCATAAACTGGACATCCCTATAGCAACCTCCCTCCACCTTCGGCATATTCTTGTCAGCAGCACGGGGGCCAACGTTGGCGAGGGCAACAAGTGTTCGGTTTCCGGGAGACATTGAACAAAAATAAGGGATAATATCTCAGATGGCAAGCGCCAGAGAGCCGATAAAAGTCCCCTATGCAAGTTCATGGACTGGATGATTTCGTCCTTCTTTTTGAGGAGCTGCTGGTGAAGATTCTTCATTCTATCCATGACGCTTTCCAGCCCTGAGATTTCTTGCACAACTGCATCCAATTGCTGCTGGCGTTCGGTGATGATAGCGCTGATGCTCTTGTCACCACGCCCGATGGCAGAGTGGTCGATATTGGGAAATAGGGAGTACGGGGTTTCTAGATCTGGAATCTGCAGTAGTCATCGTCAATACGGCATAACAACTTGGAGGCATCGTTGAAATCAACATACGATCACTCGTGAATGTGCCAACTGAAGCGACGGTTATCTCCATATACCTTAGGCTATGACTGGGCACTCACAATGTTCTGCAGTGTACCAATGACATCGCAGATCGATGAGGCATTGACTGTTGTCCTCTCAATATTGAGATGCATGTTGCTAATTCGTGACGACAAGGCGGAACCGAAGAAGGTAAAGAGCGCTGGCCAGACCTTAATCTTCTATCTAGATCATTGGCCTGGCCAGGCGCACTCACTCCTGAGTCCTCGTGGCGAAGACACAAGATCTAAAACGACTTCAAGACGCTCCACGCAACGCATTAATTCACCAGGTAATTGCAGCTATCTTCATATATACAGACAGACTAGAATTTGGAAAATTCACTTGGCCGCTGAACGCGGTCAAGCTAGAGGATGTCTGGTCTAGGTCTAGTCTAGGTACGTGAGCCTGCGAACCATTTAGCTCCAACAAGTGCTTACTAAGCGAGCGAACGCACGCGTTTTGTTAAACGGCATCTTGCATTTTCACTTCTTCGCTGAGCTTTGCTTCCCAGATTTCTCACCCACCCACCACTTCCCCCTAGGTGTCTTAGCAGCGTTTTTGGGTTGTGATGACGTGTTTCCCAAATACCTTTGTTTCACACTCGAGGGTTTCCGGCTGGTCGATTCTTCTCGTGCCTGGCTTCTCGCGCCCTTTCGTTCTCGTCTTTCGCTTGCTCTAGACAAATTTCCCCTCTTCAGCGCACACTTTCTCGCGCGCATTCAAATTTCGTCTATTGCTCTCTCGTCGACCCGGCGGATATCTGTGTCTGCATTGCCCGGAAAAAGCCGAACCAGACAACAGCCGAAACCCCCACCCCCATCTAGCGAAATTCGTGACTAGACCTAGACTTTCCATTCCAGGATGTCCTCATCATTGTGTACAGCATAACTGAGCTGCAAGAAAGGTTTTACAAGACTACTTATACTACTGGATCTTTTACATATTTTCTGCAAGTATAAAACGTGAAATAACTACATATGTACTTCGAGGTGAAAGCGGTGGCCTCTGTTGTTGTCCATTACCAGCCTGGCTCTGCTACCACAGGGCCGCACGGCAGACTGGCTGTGAGTCTAGTGAAATTAGAACACCCGGACCACAGATACATGATTCCTCAAATGTCCTCAACATCCCTCTCCATCATACGCCTAAGCTCAGCTTCCGGAATTCTCGTCTGAAAATCAATCGTACATGGCTGCTCATTCGCGAAGTTGCCATGCATGAAAGCCATATCATCCAACGGCTTTGTGCGATTTTCGACGTGAGCCGGAAGGCCCAAAGGACGAGAACCGCGTTTATGAACGCCGAGCTATGCCGCATATTTATTGGAACACACATATGGATGAACTGTGTGACCTTACCTGTTTGCAACATGTTGTCCGGGACACACTCTAGAAGTAAAGAGGATGAGAACATGACCAACCGCACAAAGAAGGTACCTACCGCCGACCAAAGCCGAATCCAAAGAACTTGAGGTCATCTCTCATGCGCCCTTCGGCATCAAGCCAACGATCAGGCTTGAATGCGTTAGGGTCCGGGAAGACATCTGGATCGCGAGAGATGGCCCTGGAATGGCTATTAGATCAATCATACTCAGAAGGAATGCCCTGACCAGTGATTGCCAGATACTGTTGTCCCGGCTGGAATACGATAATTTTCCTGTTTATACTGTCAGATCCGACTTCCACAGAACGACGAAGGGTGCTCACAAAAGCAACCACTTGTGTCGTGCGGTGTGGTAGACCTTCATGCAGGTTAGCTATAGGCATCAGCTAGAAGGAAGGGATGTGATTACCCATAGGTATCAACGGCCTCCATCGCAGCGCCTCCGAAACGAAGGCACGAAGGCGAGGAAGTGATTTCTTGTCGGTAAATGCGGGTACTAGGGTGAGTCAGCTCATGAATAGATGCTCCAATAACACGCACGATCAACTTACCTCTGTTGATCCCGATAACCGCATCCAGCTCTTCATGAACTTTACGTTGTTCCTCTGGGAAACAGGCAGCTGCCATCAGGATTGTGCATATCGCGAGAGTAGTCTACAAAACCTGAGTCTTGCTAAATTCAAAAGCGGTGATGCATAAGCTCACCGTGTCGTATCCAGCTGCAAAGACAGTACCAGCAAGGCAAGCCATCTCCAGCTCGGGCATTTCGTTAGAACTTCTCTTTTCCCAGAGATATCTTCCGAGCGAAGGACCAGCTTCGTCACCTCCCTGTTATCGAGCATTCTAGCATATCATTGGATTGGATTATAAATACTTACTATCTCCTGTTTCAGACGATCGAACAGCTCGATGAAGAGCTCCTGCGAGTCTCGACAGCCGTCACGTAGGTCTCGCGCATACCAAGGAAGATATTTCAGCCACGGAATCGAATCCACAAGGTACGCGCCAGGATGCAATACAGTACGGAATTTATCAGCAAACTTAGCGACCCTTTTCACTTCGGGATCTGTCGCAGATGTAGGTGTGGTCTTCCCATATGCAACTTTCATGCTTGTTGCTGCTGCGTAACTTCAGTCCGTTGGTCAGCAATGCCACGCTACATATATGACCTGGAACCTACGTTCGCGCATGATCCTGGAAATTGTGTGGATCATTAAGGATACTGATGACAGTGTTCTTTGCGTATGAGATCTGGAGCGGTTGATATGCCTCAGCTACTTTTGGCTGTAGATGCGTGTGTATCGCTCTAAAGTAAAGAGCAGAGAGAGCCATTAGATTGATATTTCCGCATTATAGCAAAAGACGAGCCTGCGCAGCCGACGGAACCTCTCGCCAGCGCGAATGAAGGGGATTAACATCCCCCCGCAAAGCAACTCTCCTGCAGCAATGAAACGAGGTCGGTCGACCAGCGATGCCCCATGTTTTTCCATAATTTCTACTGCAGCCTATATTGTGTACGTGTTAGTACTCAGAACCCGGTGCCCAGTGGGATATACTTTATATCGACCAATAACAACGTGCTTCTCGATTCCTTCGCGTAGGGTGATGAGAGGACCATATTCTTCAATCCATGATTCTACTGTCATAAATCCGCTAAATAACATTGTGAAATTATGAAGACTGCAGTGAGATCGACACTCACTTGCGAGGGGGTATGAGATGGCCTCGAAGTCTCCACGTGAGAGGGGACGGAGGACAGGAGAGGTTACTCTCTGTGCTAGCAAGGTAGGCACGATAAATCAAGGCTGTTACACCCAAACAAGTTGCGGCAACGAAAACTTGAGCGTGACTGGAGAACTGTAAGTCTGTCAGCTGTAGCATGGTCGGACAGTGAAGTTTGATGAGGCTTGAAGTGCACTTGTAGCGACTTTTAACATGGTAGCTGCATGAATATGATTGCGATATGTTTACCGGTCATCTCGCAATAACGGAGCTTGCGGGTAACGATCATGGCAAGTCAAGCTACCAAAACGAAATGACTATTTTTTCCTGTGGAAAGAATGCAGAGAAATTTCGGAAAAACTTAGAAACCCCAGATAGGGTTATCAATGTCCCATCCTAACAAATTTACAGATGATGAGTTGTATTTCGGTAGACGGGATAAGGAGGCCCTCAGCAATGTGACACGATGATGTCCGTGATATTGACTTGGCCCGCGGCCATTTCAGCAAATCAGCTCCGTGTCCAATGTAAGTTTAAGAAATACTGGAATCATACACACCTTCATTAGGTGCAGCAGCATCAGTAGAATGCAGATAACGTGTGCTGCCACAGTCGGAATCCGATGGTTGCGGCTAGCAGCCCAGTCACTGTTGTGATTGGACAGTACCAATCACCTTTGAGGACTTAGGCCTATAGGTCCAAAAGGGCCCTCAATATGCCTTCACTTGAACGCATCAAGATACTGTGACGTATATGTATGCATGTACATATACTAGTACCTGCAGATGCAACATTTATAAAAGAATAAGTTTCAAAGTTATGTAAGCTTTTGCGAGCTGAAGTGATTGTCGTTGGTCACGCGCCTATTACGACATAACCGGAGCCGGTGGTAAGACTCACTTCGCCATATTCGAGCAATTGAGTTGCTCGACAACTTCGAGTTAAACCGGGCAGCGGACACGTCGATACGCGGTGATCAACGTTTATCCACTGTGTTTTGTCATCTCGAGTGCCAAATGGGTCACATAGACTTACCCGTCATCACAACCGGGGGTCAGGATCATTCTAAACAGCCCCTCAGCCCAGAGGAGTGCACACCTGACTATTTCCCAGAAGGTGGGTTCAGAGCTTGGGCTACTGCATTTGGAGGGTAAGATGGCTACTCATTACCGCAGCAACGCTTATGACAATCTCCCTTTCCCATAGCTTTCTTGTGCAATTTTGCACGTACGGGTCAGTTTTCAAGCCAATCTCACGAGGCAGTTCTATCGAACGTTTTCAGATACACTATTTCGTTTGGTGTTTATCAAGGTAAGATATAATGTTCTCAAAAGGAGCTAGCTTTCCAAGGGCATAATTCTGATTTAAAGATTTCTATGGTCGGACTTATTTAACGAACCAGTCTCCCTCAACAATTGCGTGCGTCGTACTCCTCCCGCACCCATGTTTATCCTTTGATTTGCTTCTAGCTGGATCGGCAGTGTGAACGCCTTTCTTTTCGAAATATGTGGCTTGATAAGTGGACAGCTTTATGATCGAGGATATGTGTAAGTCAAATTTGCAAGGTAGTCTTCACACGGTAGTCATAAGTATGAAATATCGGAAGTCGTCAATTGGTTATAGGCGCATCTCTCCTTCAAGTAATCTCGCTTTTCATGCTTTCACTTGCCAAACCTGATCAGTACTACCAAGCAAGTACATATTGCTCGTCTTACGGATCAGTCACTAACTATAGTGACAGGTATTCCTCTCGCAGGGCATCGGGTCAGGTTGTGCTGCCGGTTTGCTTTATATCCCCAGCATGGCTGTTGTCTCGCAGTATTTTCGCAAACGACGCGAAATGGTGATGACCTTCGTTGCTTCAGGAGCTTGCCTAGGCGCTGTGGTGCATCCGATCATGTTAAACAATACCTTGAATGGTCGCTTGGGATTTGCAAATGGAGTTAGGGCTAGCGCTGCCCTCATCAGCGGTTTGCTGTTCATAGCATGTCTCCTCATCAAGCCGAGGTTCCCCCCATCTAAGGCATCAATAACATTCCTTGCAACCGCAAAGAAATGTGCTCATGACCCCCCATATATATATGGAACTGCGGGGTACGTTCGCGCAGATTAATTAAGGGGTAGACTCATCTTATTTTGATTAGATTAACCATTTTTGCTGTTGGATTTTATTACCCCCTATTCTACCTCCAGCTCGACTCGGCTACGCATGGTCTCAGCAAAACATTCTCTTTTTATTCAGTTGAGTTCAATAATCCACATTTTTGAAGATGTATTGATCCTGTCAGCTTGTAATCATGAACACATCGAGTTTCGTGGGACAGCTAACAAGTGGCTTGCTAGTTGAATGCTTTGGTGTCCCGAGAGTCTTGACGGTTTCAACGTCTGCCGGTACTGTCTTACTTTTTTCTTTGATCGGATTACGCACCCTAGCCAGTGTGGTGGTTATTGGTATTCTTTATGGGTACAGCGCTGGAATCTGTAAGTCGGCATACCCTGGCTAATCATACCCGCTCACCGCTTTTCTCTATAGTTCAAGCGTTATGGGCACCGATTCTGGCTGTCTTATCGCCAGACCCATCTGACCTAGGGTACGCCTGTTCCTGAAAGCACGTTTGCAACGAAATGTAAGACTGGTTCACAGAGCCCGCATGGGCATTTCCTATGCCTTTATGGGTAAATACTAGAGTGCTTTCAGCTTAATCCTGTGCTAATATAAACTTTAGCTCTCGGAGGGTTGATAGGTGCATAGACATACCATGAATGATACTCATTTTTCTGATTCAAGATGTACAATTCAGGCCCGCCGATATCAGGAGCATTATTAACAGGTGATTACATCTGGTGGCGCGGCGCAGTTTTTAATGGGGTGAGATGTACCATATCTTGCCGATGAATACCGCTCAGCCAATACAGATCATGGCTGCAATTGGGTGTTCATGTTTCATCGCAATGCAGATAGTACTCAGGCATCGGGATAACGTTTCTCGTTAACTTATAACGAGGCCGAATAAGTCAAGAAACATCTCGCAATATTTTATGTCATGTTTTCTCATCGGCAAATCAGCGATTCCGCGCTCAGAAGTCCAAAGTTTTAATATTACTCCTCTCATAATATACAAAGTGGTTGGATGGGCAGTCTATGATTTATTGACAACAGACAAGTGAAACATTCCCTACGCGTACAAGTCATCATCCTGCGAGTCATCTGCGAAACCAGCGTTGCCAGCGGGCGCTGATGGGGCGCTGCCTGTAGAGGGATCGCCCTCTGGGAATCGGAAGTTGTTACCAAATCCACGTGATTGTTGCAGGTTCTGGAGAGATAGATTAGCCGATTGATGTATAGCGAGTGAGAGATCATACCTGGGAGAACATCTCGTACCGCCTGATGTCTTGGTCTGACACCGACCGACGAGCATACTTCATCGCCTCCTCGAAGTGCTCTTTTGTGATCTCAGGAACAGGGTCTTCCTCATCTTCCTCCATCTTGGCGTCCTCGGATTCCTCCTTCTCCTTCTGCTCACGCTGTCTCCTGATGTCAGACTCAATGCTTTCGCGAATGGCCAGCTTTGCGGCGCGCTGACAGATCTCAGTGAGATCAGCACCAGAGAAGCCATGAGTCTGCTTCGCCAAAAATGCAAGGTCCACGTCTTGGCCAATGGGAGATTTCTTCAGGGCTGCCTTTAGAATAGCAAAGCGAGAGACTTCATCAGGTAAGGGAATGTAAATGAGCTGGTCAAGACGTCCGGGACGGAGTAGGGCAGAGTCGATTTGATCAGGACGGTTGGTGGCACCGATAATGAAAACGTTTTTCTTAGCGTTCATACCGTCCATTTCCGTCAATATCTGGTTAAGAACACGGTCCCCTGCACCTCCCCCGTCGCCCGATGAGCCGCCACGTGCCTTGGCGATGGAATCAAGTTCATCGAAGAACATGACACAAGGTGCAGCAGCACGGGCTTTGTCGAACACATCACGAACATTGGCTTCCGATTCACCAAACCACATCGTGAGCAGTTCAGGCCCCTTGATGCTGATGAAGTTGGCTTGACATTCGTTCGCGATGGCTTTCGCAAGAAGTGTCTTACCCGTCCCCGGAGGGCCGTAGAACAAGACACCCTTCGACGGTGACATACCGTATTTGAGGAACTTCTCAGGATGCTCGACAGGGTACTGCACTGTCTCCTGGAGCTCGAGTTTGACTTTTTCGAGACCACCAATGTCGTCCCAGGTAACTGTGGGCACTTCGACAGCAGTCTCGCGAAGTGCGGATGGGTTGGAGGTACCGAGGGCAAAGCGGAAGTTATCCATAGTGACACCAAGGGAATCCAGCACTTCGGCGTCAATCGTGTCCTCGTCAAGATCAATGAGATCCATCTTTTCACGAATCTGCTGCATAGCAGCTTCCGAGCAAAGAGCAGCTACGTCGGAACCAACGTAGCCATGTGTGTCGGCGGCAATCTGAATAGAAGTATCAGGAATTGCACAGCATACTAGTTCACAGTTGCTTTACCTGCTCGAGATCGACGTCATCGCCCAACTTCATGTTCTTAGTGTGGATACGAAGAATCTCCAGACGACCAGTAGGGTCTGGAATACCGATGTCGACTTCACGGTCGAAACGGCCAAAGCGACGAAGGGCAGGGTCAATGGAATTTGGCCGGTTGGTAGCAGCCATGACAACAACATTAGACCGAGCCTTCAAACCGTCCATAAGAGTGAGCAGTTGCGATACAACGCGACGCTCGACTTCACCGTTCGTCTATGATATCGTCAGAGACGACAATATAAATACTCATCCTCACGTACTTTTTCACGCTTAGGAGCGATGGAGTCAATCTCATCAATGAAGATGATAGCAGGCGAGTTTTTCTCGGCCTCCTCGAAAGCTTTCCGTAGGTTGCTTTCACTCTCACCGGCCATCTTACTCATAATCTCCGGGCCATTGATCAAGAAGAAGAATGCGCCAGTCTCGTTGGCTACCGCACGAGCCATCAACGTCTTTCCAGTACCAGGGGGACCGAACATCAGAATACCACGAGGTGGTTTAATACCAATGGACTTGAAGAGCTGTGGGTGACGTAATGGCAACTCGACGAGTTCACGAATCTGGGCCATCTGCTTCCGACAACCACCGATATCATCATAGCCAACATCTGCGAGGTTTGCTTCCTCGTCTTCGCGCTTAACAGGGTCACCCTCTGTGGAATGTTCAGCACACATATTGACAAGACACACAATCAAACAAACCAGTATGGATGACAGTGTCCTGGGCCACTATACAAAATTCGGCGGGATCAGTCTCGATGACTTTAAACTCCACTGTCCGCATGCCGCCACGAACAAGGAATGTGTCACCCTTACGGACCGGACGGTATGCTAGGCGGGATAAGTTCATTGGTCACATTTATCGACCAACGTATACATACCTTCGAGGAAGTAGGGTTTGAGGTAGACATCGAAGATGTTACCACTGAGACCTTCGATGGAGTCGTCGAATGGCAAGACGTGTATCCGCTTGCCGTATTTTATGTCTAAACATTGATGGACGTTGACAAGATCGCCAAGTTTCACGCGCAAGTTATTCCGGGCAACCTTGTTCACCTGGATGCGACCTTCTTCAACATCATCGGAGCTCAAGCAGATGAGAACGGTGTCACGACGTTTCTTTCCCCTGTATGTCACGTTAGTTAGAATGACTTGCTGTGGAAAGAGTTCACGATGCATACCTCACGATGATAGTGTCACCCCGGAAAAGTTGGAGAAGCTCCATGGTCGCAGGATTCAAAGTTGCAACTGTCCATGGAAGATCAGACAAATATCCATCATTATTTATTCATACATATATACCGGAGTTATCATCTGAAGTAGCCTCGTCGACAATAAGACGATTTGGCCTGTAGATCTCAGATGAGTATGTCATGGGAGATGTCTATTGTAAACATACGATTTCTTTGGCCGCAGAATTGCAGTAGAAGTGTCATTTGGACCTGGTTGTGGTGCAGCACCGCTGGGGTCAGCCATTATGATAGTCTAGTAAGGAGAGAGTTAACAATGTTAAAGGACAAGGACAGCTTTTGTAGTGGCGAGGAAGCGACGCGCGTCCTGTCTGAGATAGATGGCCACGTGTGATTGCACTACCTAATCGATTTTCCCGTCCCTTCGATAACCTTCCAAAACCAAAAATTAAACTTTTATATATCTGACGACCATTTTAAAAATATTCATGCTTTGTTGAAGTCTGCAAATACTTTCGATACATGTGTGATAGTACATACATAAACGTATAAAAATTGTAAGCTTGGGGTAAAAACGTACAACACAGCAATTGTGTCGAAGAAAGTTCCGCGTTACATATGATAAAGAAAGATGAGATAATACAATCCTGCGCAGATGCCCAAAGCCGCACTCTGGGATGAATAGAAGAACCCAAGAAGTGCAGCATCTTATGCCGCCTGGACCATGGAATGCCAGCAGCAACGTGGTCCACAAGGAGATTATTTACGCACTACTTCACTCTTGAGTAAGTGCATGCAGGCTTCCCTTTCTTGCCTCCGCACCTCTGCAAATACAGGGACCAACTCTGCTACATCGTCCCACCGTTTTCGATACTCTTGAACGCTCCCAGCAGTGCACATCACTTCTCCTGTCCAAGATGACGTTTCTCGGAGGTTGGGCACGATAGCAGACAGAAACGCCGCAACTTCAGCTGGTTTTGTAATCGGCGAATTGGAAAAATTGATGGAGGTAATGAGCTTATTGCTGCTGTTGCTTATCGGAGGCGTGGGAGGCGCCTTGGTGTCGATAATTGCATTCACGGAAAGGACGAGCTGATGTAGTTCGGGGCAATGTTCCAGGAGTATAACAAGCCCTGTGAGATCTACTTGTGGGACACGATACGTTCCTGCGTTCTGATGCAGGATGAGAACCCGCAACCGCGGCCACGAAACAGCGAGTTGTCGCAAACTGTCGTTATCCAGTTCTGGGAGGATAGCTCCGCTCAGGTTGAGTTCTAGTATCAACAGATTCTTGAAGCTAAAAAGCGGCTTCAATGAAAAGGGATTTGTGGTGGAGTCGTCGTCTTGATAAGGAGAGGCGGTTTGCAGGGAAATGCAATTCAGTGACTCGTGCGAGAGCTGCAAGGGAAGCAGTTTCAGAAGCACCTTGCGTCCAGCGGGATCATACCCCGCATCCATCCGATGGTGGAAACAGCGTATGTTCCAGTTGGCCGCTTTGAGCATAGAGAGGCACGGACCGATAGATTTAGTATTGATTGTCAGATAGCGAAGTTTGCTAAATGAAAACCTTGGAAAAGTGAGCGTGGATGGGGTATCGTTTCCAAGCCAAATGGTCAAGCGGCTCAACAATGGAAATTGCGCCAAGTGATGGAGAGCTCTGACAGAGACCTCACCGCACGCGAGAGATCTCAAAGCAGAGAGTTTGTATATCGCATCTTCTGTCACACTTGCACTGATAGCAACTTTATGACTTTGGATGACTAGCTTCCTAAGCGAGGTGCATCCAAGATCGGAGAATGCAGCAAGAGCATATTCAGATACGATTAGCTGCGCTGCCGCGAGGTTGTGACAGAAGAGCGAACGCATGAAGGCGATCATGTCATCAAGTCCAGCAGAGCGGGTGCTGAGACAGTGCCAGGTGAATGTACGAAGGTTGGGTAAAAGAAACGAGGGATCGGGAGGCGACAAAAGGGCGCGATAGAGCTTGGCATCGCTCGCGAACCATCTAAGCCGTAGGCTATGAACCCGGCGAGAATAGCTTGCAAACACTTCCCAATCATTGGGGTGCAGGGGTCCTCGGATCACCTAGACAACGGTAGCTAGTTAGAAGAGTTCTCAAATCTTCATTTGAACATTCACCAATTCACCGGACCTGGTTGACCACAAATCGTGGGGTAAACGCTCAATTAATGGCTGGAGCCCTGGAAGATCCGAGTAAATGGCGTTCAGGGCGGGCTCGTAAAACAATCGACATGTCCTGGCAAGAACCGTCAACGACATATAGTCAGCATTTTTGAAGATTTCTTGCAAAATTTCTTCGAGATGCAGACACCGGTGCATAAGTGGGTTCAGCGCTCACTAGCATGCCAGTGAGGAACCGACTCAACCAAGAGCGATCTGACTAGTAGTCTATCTATCCGTCGATAGACACGATGTGACAGTTAGAACAGCCTTCGAGCGCTACCACCTTGCCTATATATATCATACCCGCATTTTGCCCGCAATTCAGGCAAATACTATACTGATTCTACTTTCAACCTCCGGTCACTTCTTCCAGTAAGTTCCTCGACATAAGTAACCTCAATCCGAACGCAAATCACGAAGTCCTTAATTTCCACAGTAAAATATATTCGACTCCGTTGAAAGAAGTAGAGCATTGCAGTGGCTGCAGCGGCGATTCCATGTACGTGGCGTGATTGGTGGTGGAGGGTTGTTGCAAAGTAAGATCCACCACGGTGCAGGACGTTCTACGGCAGGTCGCTCGTTGACTGCGAAGGGCGTTGGAGAAGAAGATGGAGGAAGCGATGTCAGTGGAGACAAAGACTCTACCAGCAGGTTAAGAAATCGGAGAGAATACACAATGTCAACACACCATTGAACTGATGATGGAGAGCGGCATGCAGGCGATGACGCTCGCGTCTGAGATGATTTCGAAATCATGATTACCAATTTAGCGAGCTAGAGTAAGCTACGACGACTGAATCAATGACGCCGTGATTTCAGTCCATGTTGGTAGACGGACCAGCCTCTTCCATAGCCCCCTCTGCAGGGATTACCTGACGCTTCTTGCCTTTCTTCTGATGCGTGGATTCCGATTCCGCGTCAGAGTCAGTGTGAGACGTCCGCTTTTTCTTGCCCTTGCCACTCCAGTTGAAGCTCTTCAGTGGAGTGGGCGCGGCGGCATCTCGATGACGGCGGTTTTCGACATCATTGGTGGACGGACCCAGAGTGATGACATGCACGCACACGACGTATCGCTTATGATCAAGCTCCGTTATGTGATGACATGCTTTTCAGTTGCAGGAACAGGAGTACGATCGAGGCGAGGATGAGCAGGAGGATAGAACGCATGCGAGCCAGCTGCTGAGCCATAATACCGTACTGCATGACATCAATGTCAAATGACCGACTCTCAGCAAGTTCAGAAGTGCCTCGCGAGACTTTGCCAGCGATGAGGACTGAGGAAAGGGCACAGGCACTATCCAAAGGCTGGATTCGCTTGGGAAATTAGAGGAGTCAGTTAATATATAAGTGAAATAAATGGGAGATGACAGACATCAACACAGTACAGCTCGAGTGCAGGTTCATCACCTGCAGTAGTGGTAATCAGGCGAGCATTGATGAAGTAAACACCGTCCTCGGTAGGCGCGGTGCTACCTCCAAAAGTGAAGACGGACGCAGGAAGATCCATCGCATTGCTAGTGTCCTCTCCGTCTGTAGCGAGAGGGACAAACCCGTCCATTTTCCAGAAGCGCTTCCTACCGAGTGAGCACGGAGAGGCATTTTGAATGCCCACGATGCCGTGAAAGGTGCAGCTGGACGCCATGGTAAGGTTTAGGATTAGGAACTCCGCCCATAATGTGATGCAGAGTATGGAGCGAGAAAGGGGTCGAAGGATGCATCGATGGACGTTCGAACGATCGATGAAGCCAGTAATTCAGTAGACATTGAGATTGTACATGCAATACGTATGCACCACTTCACGGCGGATAACGCTCAGATAAATCAAGCTAAAGTGGAGCGCGCACATAGCGTCGAGGAAATCACTCCGTTTTTACAATAGATGGGCTGATATGTAACCTCAATAACGCAGATCACGAAGTCCTTCTCTGCAAAGCCTTCCACCCCTTCCTGAGACCCAAATTTTCAATGATGCTCGCAGGCATGCAGTACACCGGGTCAAGGTCCACTAGTGCCGGGTATCCTAGTAATGACAGACCTGTCGAGAAGATGGTTCTGAGGTTAGTTCTGAGATTGGAACACCTTACGCACCGGCCAAGCCAAATATCGTATGGAAGACATCAGGCATATCGCCCGGGCGGTCGGCAATACCTCCTGACTCGGTGTCTTGCGCAGAGAGAATGAAGGCTTCCAGCTTACTCGAGTCTATCCATGCGAGCTTGTTAAGGATAGCAAGGGCGGATAACACCCAGAAGCTGTAGCAAACCTATAAACAGAGAATTAGGAACACTGCAGGGCAGTCATGTGTACAGAAACTCACATCTTCCAGCTTTTCAGGGCGCCCGTTAAGTCCTCCATTCGGTAATTGTCGTTCCGATAACCACCAACACAAGGTTGGCTGATCGACCTCATCCAATCTGTCCAGGATAGCGAGTGCCGCAACGCAAACAAATACTATGACGCTTCAACGTTTCGAAATTATGTGTGTTGGGAGAGGCTCACCTTGTGAAGCATGACTTTCGGCACCCGCAACGTGGCCAAATCCACCATCAAAATTCCTGCAACGCCTGATATATGCGACCGTTTTCTCAACGTCCAATTCATCAAGCTTGCCAAGAAGCGAGAGAGCGTTGACCGCACAATACGAAAACCGTGTATCAGTTTCCCCGAAGGCGTCGCCCGCAAAAACTCCAGAAGGTTGCTGCAAAGATAAAATGACTGAGTCGTATCAGTGATGTAAACCATTCGACAATAGATAAAGAACGTACATTTCACAACGCGGTCAACATCGACTCTATTGAGCGCATCCTGCATTAACAAAATTTGTATTGCGCTGAGAGTAGAAAGCAGGTGCGCGTCATGATCAGGATGAGCGCTAAAAGCGCCTGCGGAATGTGAGCTCGAGATGGCATGGATCTCTTGATAGGAACAAACCTGCCTCCTCATCCCAGCAGCTCATAACAAAATCTATCATCTCATCGCGATCCAACGCGTCCCCATGTCCCATGATCAAAAGAGCAGTCAAGCCCCAGTACACTGCGTTCATCCTTAGGTGAGCCGAGAGATGATAGGACAGCTCATGTTTGCTCTGCTTGAAACCTTAGAGATCAGTTCACTGATTAAGAGTCAAAAAACTAACATCTCCAAGAGCTGCGATATATGCAACATGTTGGGGAACGAGCAGAGAACTGGACATTACGATATAGTTCGAAAGGAAGTGGGACTGAGCAGCAGAAGTCCAGGGAGCTTACCTAAGCGAGCAGTGCCACTGGTGTGGAACCTCGGAAGGGAAGCAGAGCCTGTGGTGGCGGGGAGCGTCTGGAAGGCTGGAACGGCCGCACGAAATCGACTGGGGACTGTCATAGATAGATTTTGAAATGTCAGGGCGCGTCGTGCGCGTCAAAATTGCAAGCAAGACGCGGTGTGGGAAGTGTTTGCTGCACTGTATTAAGTGCCCATTTGGTCACGCTCACACACACCCTCCGTCAGATCCTCCTTCCTCAGTCACTACCTCTCCATCATCAGTGAGCCACTTCGCCAATCTTCAACACAATCTCACATTGTGCTCGCGATTTTTAGTCCCCTCATCTGGTACCGCCCAATGCTGCCTCATTCTATTACAATGTCAACAATCCCTCGTTCTCCTCGTCGTCTTCTTCCCTCCTGCTCTCGTCCGTTGTCCGTACTCGTCTGAGCCATGTCAGCAGTTGCTGACGTGGACTGGGCGTTTGCGCATGACGTTCGTAGTGTTGGGGACAGCGTGGTGGAGCTCTTACGTCCCATCATCTGCAATAGCTTGGTGGTCGAGACTCGAACCTGGTTCGGACCCGAACCGAACCTCTCGAACGCGTTTGGTGACGACTAACAATCGCGGTTTGCAGCCTGCTATAGATCACATTCTGGAGAACGAAGGGAAGCCTATTCCAGATCCGAACGCTGCTGCTCCTACGAGTGCATCGGGCAGCGCAGGGTAGCCCATGGACGTCGATGTCGATGCCCTGCGGCGCTTGATAGGAACTAAAGCTGGTGCCACTTAAGTAGATGCCAAGGTACGTTTATTTCAATTGCGGCTCTGAAGCCTCTATCTTCAATAAACTCACTTATTAGAGTATCAAATGCTCAGAATGCGGCAAGGTGTTTAAGAACATAGCGTTGGCTAATTACCACGCCGAGAAGAGTGGACATGATCAGTTTGAGGAGTCTACGGAAGAGGTTTGTACTCTGTGGCGTGTGTGCCGTATTTCTAACCTCAGATGTCCCTCAGATAAAGCCACTTACGGAGGAAGAGAAGCGGCAGAAGTTGGCTGACCTCAGAGAAAAAATAGCTGCAAAGCGCAGCGTAAAGTCTCAACAAGAAGCCGAGGAAGCACGTGCGAATGAAGCTATTCGCCGCAAGTCTGGCAAGGTGAGTTTAGTCGCGTACTCGGTGGTGTTTGTGTTTCAGAAGTTCAGTCAAACCAGGACATCAGCAAACTGAAAGATGAGCTGAAGGCCGAAGAGCTCGTGAAAGAAGGTGGGTAGAAACATAGGTGGTTGTCATGCGCATGGATTCTATCCATATTAATCCGATCTAACCGCGTGCGGTAGAGAAGCTTGAGGATGCCAGAGCCAAGACCGCGGTAAAGGCCCAGATCGAGGTTGATAAGAAAGCCCGTGCAGAAAAGGCTGCAAGGGAGAAAGCTTTACGTGACGGCCAATGCGTTGACGACTCCAGCAGTAAGAGCGCCTTCGTCCAGCGGCACAAGTGGAAAGGACTTCAAAGACACTCGTCTCCAAATCCGTATGGCAAGTGGAGGAACGCCTTACACGACCACCTTGCCGAGTGATGCAAGTATGTCTCATCGCTTCCCTGCATACACGAACGTCTTGTGAACTGATGACACGGCACATATTGGTTTCCAGGTCCTTACTGCGCCCTAACGCGATATATCGGCTGTGACTTGGAATAATTGGGATCCTTTTGGAATGGAAACCTAGCAGGAACGAAGCACGCAGTTGTACACCACCACAATAAGTTTTCTTTCGTATATTATGGGCATAAAATGGTGAAATATGCTAGATGTGAGTTTGATGCGCGTGTAGAGAAGAATGTCCATGTCAAGAGGCAATAATCAAAACAAAAAACAAATGAAGTTAAAGATATTCGAAGAGTGTTATCGTACCGTCCACATCACTGACCACAATTCTCCCAGACTCCTCATCAATCGCTACCCCGTTCCAATAGTTGCTGGCTCGCACGCGAAATGCCTTGGAACGATGTGAGTTATGCTGACTAGTCGAGGATCCTCCTGTAGTCGTCAGTATCCGTACTGAAAGTCGCTGATGTTGGAAGTCGCTAGACTCCATCCTGTCCGCCAAGTCTGGGAAATGGTTGTCAAGTAAGAGCATAGTACCATATCGTCCGAGAGCAACGTCCGACTTCTGATCTGACAAATTCGCATAGCATATCGTCCGCACTGGAGAGCATATCGTGTGCACTAGAGTGGGCTGCATCAAGTATGGAAGGTTGTATAGAGAAGTCTCCCGTCCTGGGACATACGCGGGATTTGGGTCAAGCACGAAATGATGTAATGTGTGCCCCGACCAGGAAAAGGTGGATCCAATTCGAACGACAATGTTGATTGGCGATGGACGGCGCAAGCGCGCAGCATGCCAGCTAACTTGTTCTGACATATCGACGTTGTCTATGACCTGATGGTGGAAGTTGTACTGTGCGAGTGGATACGAGATTGGCACTCCCGGCGTTGCAATGTCGGTGGGTCGGGGAATGGTCGAGTAGAGCTTGACAGTTTGGATGAAGAATATTATCAGGTAATCGTCACAGAGATGCATTGCTCGGCATCGGTACTCCTAAATCATAGAATTCAGCTATGTGCGGGATTACACGGGAAAAGCAAACTAACCTGTACATATGGTGAGGGGCTCACCAATTGGATTTTCTCATAAGGTTGATCGCTGATGTCCCATATGCTCACTTTTCCGTGCCATTTTTGATTCTTGGTGATGAGCGTGTTCCCGCTGAGTAGGTTAATCTCTCTACGTCCATTGATGGCACTCAGCAGAACGAATGCTGACTCGGGGTCTTTCTCTTCGAAGTCGATGGTGAGTATTTCCGTTCTGTGATAAACAATCAGCAAGAACGTCAAAGCAGGTGTTACTATTTACACTCACACTTCTGGCTCGGACTGGATCGCCATTATGGCTGGAGAAGAGGGATCGTTATTGATAATAACACGGTTGTTCAATGCCCGATTCGTGTACGTCAGTTTTGCTATGCACACGGGTTGTAGGACAGTAAGGTCCCAGCACTGGACGATACGTTTTTCGAATTCCTCACTCGTGACAGATATTAACCAACGATTTCCTCTGCCAGGGAGAAACTTCATAAAGAAAACGTATGGATCTTTCACGGCCGCCCCAAAATGAACTTCTCTCTTCAGATTCGGATTAGGGTTAGTCCAGTTGATGTGAAGAGCAAGTGCGCGACATGTGAACCGCTCGAGCTCTGAGGCTGACAGAGACTCAGGGGATTTCCCATCGAAATAAGGTATAGGGATGTTTTGCTGGACAAGAGACCGCAGAAAAAAAGCCCAGAGACTGTGCATACGGGTGATGGCATCAAAACTTTTACTAGTCTAGAAAATAAAAATCAGATTAAAAAACCCCTTGAAATGAAAACAGGGGCGCAAACCTGCCGTAGTGCCAGGACGCTTTGGATAGGAAGGAGCTGAAATATATCGAAAAGTATGTCGAGAGGAATAGTATCAAGGGATGGCGAGCGATTCCTGAAATGTGAGCCAATAGTAAGTTCATTCATAGTGGACATACGCAAGTTGGGTCTGCTTACTGTATCGGAACGAGAAAGGAGGCCTCTGTCGGAAATTCTTAATTTAGATTTCAACGCCTTGCTGATGCTTTTCAGAATTCGGTCACGATTTTGTGTAATCACCACAAAGGATTCTGGAGCAAAGATCTTGTCAAAGCAAACACCAATTTATGATACAAACAGTTCAAGGAACGATAAAGAAGGGTCTTGCTGGAGAAGTTCGGTAGTCGGGTATCTATCAAGTGTATGTAACCTCCCTCTCATGTCTAAAAACAATACGCGATGGCAAATAAACCTCGTTTCCGGCATGCTTAAAGGAATATTGATGATGATGATAATAAGAACATAAAATAAATGAGTGGTTGATAACCCGTGGCAGGGATCGATATAGGCACACTTGAACTGGTGCCTTTCGAGGTGGTGTTCGAGACGCTGGTCGAAGTGTTGTTCGAAGTACTGTTCGTGTATGGAGCGCACACGTTTGCATTGTGGAACGCCGCGGGGTCCTGGGTAAAGAACCCGAGCTCCAACCCCTCAAGGTATGACCTAGATGACCGTCAAGTCATTCATAAAGTACACTGGTCTGCGCCTTGACTAACCATTGCTTTGCACGGGCATTCCCGTTGGTAAGGTTTGATATCTCGATCTTGAAGTTCCAGTACTAAAGGATTCTTGTTTGTGCCACGTCTTGATCAAACACTATGGGACACGTACAATCCATCCAGCACCTTTACTGTAGGCCAACTTCTGTGCGTCAGCCCATTGGTAAAGGAACTCGTCCGTGGCATTGAACTGTGTATCGAGTGACCACTCTCCGAACCAGAGTGGAGAGTTGCCGAGTGCTGCGTCAATCTGGATTTCTGCAAGATCTTTACCACAAATGAGTACGCCATTGCCGAACCAATGAAGAATACGTACTACAGATACTGGTCATGTATGACGTCGGGTCATTTCCCTATAAAATTGTTAATGAGAAGCAATAAGTTACATGCACACGACATACGGCCGACCTGTAGAGAGAATTTAAGAAATCATGGTAATACAATGTAGTCGCACTCACGAATAATACAAGTGGTCGTCGTAAGCTTGGGGGCCAATCGCAACATCAGCTGGGTTAGAGGGGTTGTTGTGCTGCCAATTCACATCCATGAAGCTTTGCATGCCATTGTCAATGGATCCTAACAAGGACATGTAGGAAACTCACTTCGTTACCAATGGAGTACCGGACTGCTTGAAGGGTGACGCTTCGAATATGGTCTGCAAACCGTGTGTTGCTCCTATCCCCATAATAATAGGAACCGCTTCTGAAAGTGCCGCTTGCACCTCCGCTGGGAAGATGGTTGCCGAGGATGTCTCATTCAATGCAGCGGTGAAGTTGTTCGAGACGGACGCTGATACCGATACCGATAAATTAGACGACGGCACAGAGATTCCGAGTGTGAGTTCAACGGCACGGACTGTCTGAACGAAGTTCTCTTGGACTGTATGAAGATTCAGAACTCATGAGAAAGAACTTCTGATGAATGATACATACATGTGCCATAGCCAGGTGTTTGAGACGCATCATTAATGGGCTCATTGGCTGCTTCGATCGAAAAAACACTCCCAAAATTAGGGTCCAGGTGAGAAAGCGTAGTCATGACCGCTGTCCACACCAATGCACGCTGGTAGTTGTATGGAGTCTGTATGCAGGTTATCATACTTATTGCTTTTGCCAGCTGCAAAAGGGCTCACGTAGAATTGAACATCAGTAGTGCAACTGGTAAAAATCATTCTCAGTACCGAACCAATAGTGAACGAATAAGAACTTACTTTCCAGTGAACATTTGCTGAGCCGTTTGAACTCCGGGCAATGCATGATGATCCAAGATTACTTGGATCCCGGCGTTTTGCAGCCAACCCAAGCCCCGGCGCTAGTCGCAAAAGCTTGGGTTTAACTAGAAGATTGAACTACAACAGAGCTTCTCACCAAATAGTTAAGACCGCCCTGAGGGTATAATTCGTACGGCCTATCGACTAAATCCTCCACAATCCAATATCCCAGCTATGTAGGAACGCGTTGCACAACACACACGAGTCCGCACGGGATGAGAAAGGTAAAGTAGATCAAGCCGTCCAGCGTTAGCTTAGCCACGTTCGCGGTATGCCTTGAAATCAACTCACAGGGATGCGGACAGTGTTAATACCGGCTGCCTTCAATGTGTCGACATCACTCTGTGTAAACCATGTATTCCAGTGTTGAGCGAATGTAGCATTGACAGTGTCTGGATATGCTTGTGCAAATGCTCTAGATTATCACAAAACAAATCGAGTTTCACGTACAAATAGTATAGAATAGAATAGGAACGTACGACTCGGTTGAAATGCACGTCGAACAATCTGAACCACATAATTGTCCACCCATATCCACCCACCCTAAAGAAACTTGTTCAGTAAACGCGTACTTGTATAGTTCATCGGTTTATCACCTTGAGGGAGCATCCATAGCTCTAAGACTAACCTGCGCTACCACTTAAGTTAAACAGTCGGTCAGAGACGTAGAATAAGTTGTAACGCTACCATGAACCCAGATTAACACCATAAATATGAGTTGGTTGCCCAGCCCACGCACAGGCAACAAACGTGATCGAGAGCACCAAGCCTGTCAGGATATGTCTCATTGGACAGTGGTTAGTCCTCGATTGGCGTGGAGAGAGAATATGATCCGCGTTTTCAAACCAAATTTCAAGAGGAAACACATTTTATATCAGGCCTTCTGCCCGAAAGACGTGCTCACTGCCAGCTCATAGCGGGTCATGTAAATGTGAGCCTGAAACACAGTATACCAGAGTGAAACCCTGAAGGGACGTAAACTGCGATAAGCTGTCAAGTAAGGTTTGGGGTGCGGTTCCCGGGTTGATGACTGAACTATAGTCCGACTCCTCCCTGTAAGCAATACGTGCAATATACATAACTATACTCCCCGCTAATCTGAGTTGGCGGGCAGTCGTAGCCGGGGGGTTATGGTATCGCTCGATCGCGAGCCACATGGTGTCCGGTGATATCATACGTATGCTGCTTCTTTCACAGGTCAATTGTGCTATAGAAATATTACTATAGCATACCTGACTTCCCTAGCTCCTTTATTCCGCGGGCCATCCTTCGATGATTTGGCAACGGAGTGTAACGAGCTCGTAATAGATTATGACACAGTTAGTAGCCAGGTCATGATAAAAGAGAACTTGTCTCGGAGTTATAAAATAACTTGGCCCAGGGGCCAGCACTCAAAAGGTATACACAGACGGTCTGTACATCTCCTCATGATCATGCGTGCACACCTGAGAGACGGTCAGAAAAGTTCCATAGACAGATGGGCCACCGATACATATGCCGAGGCTCCCAAAAATTTAGCGGCCGCATCTGTCGCGGTTAGTAATTTCAAGTCGGCTGTGTCTCAGGGTGTCATGATCATCACCGGCACCACTAAGTGTCGCCAAAATTTTACCACTGCTGTTCTCCCTCGTGTCACAGCATCACAGGATACAGTCATAGACTCATAGTGATATATCCTTATGGCTGGTAGCCTTGTACTTGACCCTAAAAGATGCCCACCCTGAATATATATATCCGTTCTGCCAGTGTATGATAGTCCAACCAGTGGTACCGAACTGTCACAGGCGGCTCTCGGACTGTGGTCGTTTATCGATTATCCCCGGTGGACATGTTGCCTTGTCGTCAGCGGTTTCCATCGTTAATTACTACAACTTTTCCCAGAGGACGTTGGTAGACTGGTGAGTAGTTCGTCAAATGTCGATAGATGTTCAGTTGGACTAGTAAAACTGGGTGATTGGGTTTGAATTTGGATAATGCGCTTGGGAGTCATCACATGATTTGCCATTCAAACATTAATTACATAATATCACACCTTGCCGACATGCCGAATCGATGCACGTGTCATTTCACACTTTGATTCAAGTTGTTCGAAGCGTTCTATAAGCACAATATCTAGCAGATTCAAGATCGCTCAGCGTTGTTGATGGCAGGCGACTTGTTCTTATCGACACCCCTACTACTTCCCCTCGTCTTAAATTTGATAGGACCGGTGCTTGCTCATGAACATCACGGAGCAGACCTTACAGAAGAACAACTACATGCCCCAGTTGATGCCGTTCTCTGGATCCATATCGCCCTCCAAGCTATCGTATGGGGTTTCATATTCCCAGTAGGTATGGTCCTTGGACTTACGCGAAGTAGATGGCATGTTCCGGTACAAGTACGTTGCATTTTCATCTTCCGTGATTCTCTTCTGATCACGTACAGAGTCTCGCCTTCGCCCTGACTTTTGGTGGCATAGTCCTCGGCCATGCACATGGCGGTCGACAGTTCCCTTCTTCTGTCCACTCTCATATCGGATCATGGATTTTGGTCCCTATCTTCGCCCAGTTGGGCCTTGGAATTTATCTCAAGCTTCATATTCATGAACGTACCCTACGACCATACGCTGTGCGCGCCCATGGCATCCTAGGACGTATATGGCCCATCCTTGGTTGGGTTCAGGGCTTGTTTGGCGTTATCACGCTAAGGGGATTCTGCGGGGAGGTGGGAGCTGGACAATGTGCTGCGCACTATCTCATGGTTGGTCCACGTGTAATATGACCCCTTTCGGACAGTGCTCATTCAAATCTTCAGGGAAGTGGATTCATTGCCTATGGCATGATATTGGCACTTTTACTCGTTGTCGGGGACAACTGGGTTCGCCGCAGCGGCCGTAGTCCAGAATGGTGGGATTCCTGGGTGATCATGCTTTGGGTGCGCCTATCACGGATCACGGACGTACAATGTGCCCGAGCTAAATATGTAATAGGGCATAGTCAATACATTCACTGAGCATCACGGTGGTGAATGGAGTGTGAAAGATATGCAGCATACGTACGTCTGTTCCGAGAATTGTATCGGTCAAGTGATTAACCATGCCTCGTAACGCAGGATTCTTGGGCTACTCTGGTGGGCAGGGGGCGCTCTTGGCATCTTCATGTCTCGGAATAATCAGGTACCTATCCAGTCGATTTTATTGCATTGTTGAGCTTGTCTCTGCATACAGCGAAATGTTGTTCCCGGCGTGATGTTCGTCTTTTCGCTTTCTCGCACTGGTCGATGGTCTGATAAGCGCTTAGCATAATATTAACAGGATGGGCTATGTCAGACCATGTCCAGGCTCTGATGTTGTCCACGAAGGTAAGAATCATGTCAGGTTGCATATATTCACCATTCGTGTGGACTGATGCTGGTCATATTGTCAGGTTCACTCTATGTTTGGATATTCGCTGATGCTCGCCGGCTTTGCACGTGTCCTTGAGGTTTGTTTCATACCGCTGCCATCCTCACCCCTATCGGAGAGACCTCCACTGGATGATAATGATTCAGAACACACCCTGGCACCCTCTGCGCCCAAAGATACTGGTGTTGCCGCGAAACTGAATGGCGTCCGGGCATTCAGGCACTTGCCACCGTTTGTTAGTATTATTCCTTAACGATTGTTGTGAAAGTACTCATTGTAATATTCAACAGTTACTAGTTGCTTCTGGGTATGTTGCCACTATAGCATAGCCATGCGGTTCTTAACTGTGTATCCAGGTTACTTTTTATGTCTGCTACGGACGAGGAGCTCGAAGCTGCTCACGAGGAAGGGATAGATCACGTCACATATGTACTGTCGATGTATAGGTGAGGGCCTTTATGAATTTGCGTTGATACTTGTCAGCTTAGTTCTCTCACAGCATCGCGTTCCTGTTCTACCTCCTCACTGTCTTCTTGCTGCACCTTTACTCCACGTCTGGGCGGAATGCGTCGTCTGCGCAGCAGCCCAATGTTGTTTTTTCCGCTGAGGGCATTGAGCTCTCAGACACGGATGCAAGTAAGTGGTATACGCCTCTATCGAGGGAGGAAGGGACATCGGCAGCAGCGCATGTACTTGGAGAAGACGAAGATGATTGATATCTCGATGTCATGCTTGGTCGTAGTACTGGATGACTTCCTGCGGTGTTTAGAATGTCGTTTAAATTTAAATCTAAAGTATGGCCGCGTTCTCGTCTTCTGTTGTCTTTGCGTAATTGGTTCTCCCTATCGTGCAGACAAATGGTGGTCCGTCGTTATCTAAGCCTGCTTTATTTTTCGTCGTTCGATTGGTCTCAAGTTTTTCGATTAACAGGGCCTATATGAAAAATACTTCAATGTATGTTCTATCGTAACCTTATTTATCAATGGGGCTAAAGCTTCGCGGAGAGTTCGCGCACGTATCTAGGATCCTCGCGATGACGCAGCCCCCTCGTCGTACTTGCTCGTTTCAAATTGCGAGAGAAAATAGGAGATGCATCCTGGGCTATGTCACGGTATGGTCTCATTCAAGTATCATGTCTCCCTATCACCGATAACTGTGGGCCTGACGCTATCGCAAAGCACCATCAGACGTCGTGTGATATCGGTAAGAAAGAATCATTTTCAGGCCCGCATGTCACGCCGATACGTCCAAGCATGTTATCGCGCAGCGGCGGTGAACTCGAAAGATGCTGCGGTACAAGTTGGACATGTGCCATTTGGAGGGCCAGAAATGTGAACGACAAGAGGTACCCACTCCGCCTCGGATGCTAGGTCCGATTGTATGAGTGCAGTAAAGGACATATTGGAGTCGGGACAACACTTGAACAGGTTGGACATATGCATCATGATCATCAGATGATCGGGTTCAGGAATGTAGCTTATCTGATAGAAGGTTGGAGATAACGCGCTGGCTTCGGTGACGTCACTTGTGGGTCTTTACATTGAGTTGTAGAGGGATACCGAAGTGGTATGGTATAGGCTTTGAGCGCTTGAGCCATCGAGGACGGGATTGAATATTGAGCGAATTGCCGCTTTCCCGACATAGCAACGCTCGAGGCGTTGGAAGGATAACGGTCTAGCAGTACCCGTAGAGTTGTTCTGTACGAGAACCTATCTCGGAGTTATGTACCCGAAAAGGCTGTTTCCAAGTATATAGTGGTCTGTGATCGATGATCAGGAAGTATGACGTGGCGCGGGGTAGCCGTGGAAACGCTATCTCTACACCAACTCAAAAAAAATCAATGGAGTTCGCATGAGAGTTAATGTTGAAATACGTTTGAGATGACAAAATTTAAGGTAACAAGCAAGTGGCACTCGAGACAAGGGCTCGTATATTCGCTGGCTCGATTATATGAGATTTGATGAGGTAGATAAGGCCTACAGCATTGACGAAATAATTGGTTTCCTGGGGCAGACTCGTCAATGGAGGCAAAGGTGGGAATCTCATTCCCATGCTGCGTAACAAGTTGCTTTTTCAAGTTTTTCAACTCTGCTCCTGTGCTGATTAGCGCTAGCGCTCAACTGACTGCGCTCCTCACTGCACACGTCACCATACCAATCAATATACAAATTATCAGACTTCACCTTGACACTATATTTTTCGCATTCATTAATGATCCCATGGTCTGAATACGATGGCAGCGCACTGCATTCGATGACTATGATGCCCGTGAGATTGGTCATGTGCCCCATACTGAGCCGAATGATTTAATTTAGAGACACCTGTCATGGATCAGCTGGACTCAACGGAGTAGTGAGTTAGATGAGCTGTCATTGGCAATACTGCGGCCCATCGCCCGCCGGTTGTCAATGAAAGGAGGAAACTCGTATTTCTTTAATGAGCATCTGCCAGGCATAGCACCTCCGGGGCAAGCGGGGTTCGTTTGGCAGCTCGGTGAGGCCTTTGTGCGACTTTGACGAAAAGAACGTTCTGATATCAACCACGGACGATCTCGGAGGCTGTGACATTATGACATTCATTGAGCAGTGCGGATGAACAAGGAACAAAATCATGATATAGGTAGTGAAAATCGCTACGTTCAACGTGGGGCAAGACTCGCATAGCCTGAAGGAGTAAATGGTGACGACTTCCTTCCTTCCATTAATTTGAGGGTACTCCACATTAGAAGCATTTTCAAACGATGTCACTGACTCACACGGGGTAGCATATGAAAATCGGATAATCAGGTGACCCGGGACCTGCCTGAGAGTTGCATCATGCGGCGATTGTACCTACCGCACTTTGTTGGCGTACGCCATAATAGGCAATATATTTTTATCGAGATTTTTAACTTGTGAGCCAACTAGAAGCCCGGAGAACTTCAATACTTGGGTCTTACGCAGCATTTGTTACTCACTTGAAGTGGAGCACTGATTCACCTCGGGTAAATCCAGTAAAGCTCCCCAATAGCCATTGGGCCACGGACCTCAAATTGATATACCGATTCTAGCACAGCCTGTTTAGTGCTTACTAGTAGCAGTGCTTGCGCCACCTCTGGGCAACCTGAAGTAGTTGTTAGATGATCCGGCTCGGCACATGGAACGATGATATTGTTTATCGCACCACGAGAAATTTCAAGGTCTCCGATGTCGTCGTCGAGCCTATTATCAACAGAAGGGTGATTTGGGAGGCTGAGCTTCGAGCAAAAGTCAAAGGCTCAAAGCTTCTGCCAGGTACCCGTCGACTCAAACCTCGAACGGGCTGGTTCAGATGAGGAACACCTTCCAGATTTAACTTTAGTCTACTATATTGGGAACTTCCGAGCAACCCGGTAAACTCCGTGCTTTTCATGCCCGACTGAGAGTCTCAACTACTATCGCAGCAGTCTTCCTGTAACATCATAATGTTATGCACAGCTACCCGTGTACGTATTGATCGTTATGTCGGACGTGTTCGCATTCTTGACATGGGTCGGTAAACAAATTGCTGTAAAACTTCCTATCAACATGTCCACCATTGTGGTTCCTATCTAATATTTTCTGATCCGTATCAGGCACCACTTGACACCACGCTGTGTCTCCCTACCATACTTAATGGCACACGAGCCGAATATAAATTTCCCCCTCTGAACCCCCCCCTCATCTCAGTACGCTATCCTTTGGCACAATCCCCTCGTTGACTCCATCATGAGTAGCGAGGACCACAAGTATGATGTTAATAGCGTCGAGAAGAACCAGCCCGACGTCGGAGTTCACGTCGTTGCCGACGGAAGGCACCAGTTCGATGTCGCTTCAATCGACTTGGTACAGCGTCGACTCAAGCAACGCCATGTTCAGATGTATGTCCATCTTTATTTTCTTATAGCCAGCTCATTGATTTTATTAGGATTGCTGTATGTCGTGTCACGGTATTGCCCTTGCAAGTTGACTCACGAAGAGTGTAGATTGCTGGAACACTCGGTACAGGTCTTTTCCTGGGTTCTGGGAAGGCTCTCAGTGGCGCAGGCCCCCTTGGTGCCCTTATCGCATACGCCCTCGTAGGCTCAGTGGCATACTCGTACGCTCGCACACCCTTTCATCAACCCTTTTCTAATGCCTTTTAGCTCACTGTGTTCCATCGGTGAAATGACGTCTCATGCCCCAATCTCAGGGACATTCCCCCATTTTGGTATGTGAGATAGTTCGTATCATTTGAAATGCGACATTGATCGACGCAATTCAGCCGCACGATGGGTCGACCCTGCACTTGGTTTCGCAGTAAGTATCAAGTTCTTCGATTGAAGTGCGCTATCGCTAATTGATTGCTGTCCAGGTTGGATGGGTAAGTCGACTCCTTCGCGGTCCATGCCGTTTCTGACCGTCATCGCAATTTTTTCAGAACTACTTTTATGTGAGCTAATCATTCGTCCCTGCGCGTAACAATGTACTGATTGGATCCACAGACCAACGTGTATGTTTATTTTTGGTCTTCTTGGCATTACGTTTACACCCAACAAGGATAACTGTGCCGGTGGAAATCACAGGCGCTCAGATTCTTATCACTTATTGGGATTCCAATGTGAGCCAAGCAAACATTTGGTTTCCAACCATGTTGATGAAGCTTTATCATGTAGCCGAATCACGCTGGTATTTACACCGCAATTATCATTGTTTTTGCTTGCGCAACGAACATCTTCGGTGTACGGTATGTGGCATTTATGCTCCGCGTAGTGCATGCTCACAACCTTCCCTCAGGTATTTTGGTGAAGGTTAGAAATAACTATTTTTGAAGCTGCTCCAGTCAAACTCAACCATATAATCTACCAGCGGAATTCGTGTTCTCGATCATTAAACGTAAGCTTGATTCCTAATGCTGGCGTGGTATATCCGCCTTACCTACTATCCCAAGTCACGATGATCACCGGTCTCATTCTTGTTGGTCTGATCATCGATCTCGGCGGTTCACCAAATCACCACCGGCTGGGCTTCCAGGTTGGTATCAAAATCAACCGGAAATGAACCATTTGTCCTGACAATGAGGGTAGTACTGGAAAAACCCCGGTATTTTCGCAGGTGCTGGGCTAGAACCACAGGATATTGGCCTGGACCGCTTCTTGGGCATTCTGAGTGTTATTGTTCAAGCATCATTCTCATTCCAAGGCATGGAACTCGTCGCAATGTAAGTATACCCTTCCCTTCCAACAAAAGAAGCTCATTTATCAAATCGATTTATAGCGCTGCTTCGGAGACCGAGAACCCCCGCCGGAACATCGCAAAAGCCGTCCGCAGGGTATTCTTCCGTATTTTAGTTTTCTATGTAAGCCTTTATTATTTTGGTTGGAATGATGCAGGTCCTGATGGAGGGTGCGCGCAGATCCTCGGTATCTTTGTCACTGGCCTTATTGTTCCTTACAACGATCCCAACTTACTCCAATGTGAGTTTCACTACTCGCGCCTTACAAGGCAGGTCTGATACATTCCTCACAGCCACGGGTACTGCTGCTGAGTCTCCCTATGTCATTGCCATGACGAATGCTGGAATTAAAGGTAACATTCACGATAATCCGGACCCGATCGTTGTTCATGTTTACACGGACAGTTCTACCAAGCATCATCAATGCCGGCGTCATGACCAGTGCATTCAGTGCTGCAAACTCGTTCCTCTTCTGTTCATCTCGTATTCTGTACGGTCTTGCTCTCCGAGGGCAAGCACCCAAGGTTTTCGCAAGGTGCACGAACTCTGGACTTCCGCTCATCGCTGTTGGATTCTCTGTGCGTCGTCTTCAGATCGAACTATTACATGGCGCTGATTACATATAAAGAGCATATTTGCATTCCTCGCGCTCATGAACATCAAGTCTGGTGGCGCAACAGTGTTTAAGTAGGTGTGCTCCTAGTGGTGTACGATCGGTACTCACGTTTGATTTAGCTGGTTCGTCAACCTCTCAACTGTGGGCGGCTTCTTCGGTTGGGGATCTATCAACTTGACCTACATATACTTCCGTAAGCCCATCGTCCGCCTATCTCCCTTTCCAATCCAAGTCTCATAAAATATGCAGACCGCGGAATGAAGTACCAAGGCATTGACCGCACAAAGCTCCACTACTGGAACCGCTTCCAAGTACGTACCCTCTATCGATACGCGGCTCCGCCGAGTGCTGACACTACCTCCAGCCATGGCTTTCGATCTGGGGATTGAGCTGGTGCATTTTCTTCATCATCATCAACGGCTTCGAAGTCTTCTGGACTTTCACCGCCTCCGGCTTCCTCACTGCCTGTGCGTCTGCTCATTTTCCCATGCAGTCTTAATAGACTCACAATCCCAATTACCTCTCGCAGATATCAACATACCGCTGTTCTTCGGTCTTTACTTTGGCTGGAAGTTTATGAAAAAGACCGAGGTCTGGAAACCAGAAGAGATGGACTTTGTGACAGTAAGTGTCTCGACGGCTACTCTTCGACTCGATCTGACGCGTGAGATCAGGGTATTCCCACCCCAGAGGAGACAGAAGGGCCATACTACCCTCCCGAAGGTTTCTGGCAAAAGCTTGCTGAAATTTTGTTCTAGGCTGTTGTTGTACGGATTTAGTCACTGTCCCCGGCTCTCGTTTGGTCAGAGCTGTAATTCCCCTTTTTTTTATTTTTGATGTGTAGCGATGGATGACTTGTCTATGTTGTGTTAAATACCTGTAATGGTTTGTTGAGAACGAAACGATTACGCTCTTTATGATGTGTACTGTGCAGTGCGGCATTGAATATATCATAATCCATCGCTAGTTTGAATGACGCTAGGCAGCGAAAAGTACATCGTCAAGGCTCTTCTAAGATTATAATCCACAAATCGTTGAACGCGATGTCACTTCCTGCCGTGGACATGGACATTCATGTACATCCAAGGGTAATCCGCGCTGAGTTCAGATATACGGACACGTTGATACACACTCGGTCGTGTTCATAAAATGAACCGGTATCACGACCTCAAAATCTGACACCTGTCGGATGATTGAATGCAACGACAACTCGACGGATGACGCGCGACGTTTTGTCCCGGTGGACGCCATTTCCGATCACCGCCAGAAATGACGCTCGTGCCTTGCCTCAAGTAGTCAACTTGTATCATACTAGCGTATTCCCTGGTACCTGTATTGTCAATGCGACTACTAGTACTAGTAGTTGATGTAGATGCCAAATTCTAATATTAGCAGGTGTTGGTTGGAGGTATTAGGCTAGGCCCAGTAGAGACGTGTTGGAAGTGCCTCTATGTTGACGCGTGGCAGGTAAGCTCATCATATCCTACCAATACCAATTGCCCGCTTAGATGCGGATCGACATCACTGATAGTTGACAACGTTGAACGTTGAACGGAGCACAAAACTGGTTAGGACCTGCAGCGCAGCAGCAAGGTAATGTTTTGTGATATTATGTGGTGTTTGGCACCGCGCGAAGGCACACGTGCACGTCGGCGGACTCGAGACTTCGTCATCCACATCCGAAATACTTGACAACTCCACATCATGTCTACAGCTCTCATCCTAGGCGCAACAGGCGCAACAGGCAGACATCTCCTTCGCGAGCTTCTCGCAAACGACCAATGGTCCAAAGTCGGCGAATATGGGAGACGGGTAACTCCCGAAGCCGACCTTCCCCAGAATAGGGGCAAACTGGAGCAGAAAACAATCAACTTCGAGAACTTGGAAGCGGCAGGGCTCAAGGACGGGCGATGGGATGTCGTGTTCGTCACCCTCGGGACGACTCGTGCGAATGCAGGGAGCGCAGAAATGTTCGAGAAGATTGACAGAGAGTGAGTGGAGTTCTTTTCGTCATGCTCGATTTCATCTCATGTGTCGTATCCAGGTATGTGGTGAACGCTTGTAAGGCTGCAAAGACAGATGATCCGGAACATCAGCAACGTGTTGTGTATCTGTCGGTGGGTTTAACGCAAAACACGTAATGCATATGATGGGAATTGATGTGAAATGCAGTCTGGTGGTGCTAACCCATCCTCTTACTTCCTATATCCGAGGTACGCAAGTATCACCACGGTCCGCTCTTCCATATGCCTTATCTGACTTTGTTTTCCTTCAGATCCAAAGGGCTCACAGAACTGGGCATAGCACGCCTTGGGTATGCGGACACCATCGTTTTCCGCCCAGGTTTCCTCAAAGGAGCTGAACGTGCTAATAAAAGGTTTGCAGAGACCATAGCCGGGTGCGCTTTTTCTTCCCCTCAAATTCTATTTCAATGTTGATTTGGCTAATTCAAGCTACGTGACGGGCGCTGCGTCGCACTTTACGTCCAGCGTGGAGATTCACGTTCCCGTTCTCGCCAGTGCCATTATGAAAGCAGGCATTCTGGGTTCATCTGGCCTACGGCCCGCTGTGGGTGCTACTAAGGCAGGACAGGAAGATGCGGAGTTTACTTTGATAGATAACAAAGGAGCGCTCGTTCTTGGGCAGGAGTGATTCATCGTTGTGGCAGCCTTTTGGTTTCAGTGTTAGGAATGTTCTGTTGGACTGGACGATTATCTAGGTACGTATATGTGCCGCGTAAACAGTAACAGACAACAAGAAAATTATAAGCCAGTAGTGTCTTATACAGCAAGTATAATTATGCATGCGAATCCCTGTGGGTCAGTGATATTCGTAGATGAGTGAAGGAACATATGTGCGTAAAAATAGATTGTGATTGATATCTATTTGAAGACATTCAGTTGGTTGGTCCATACGATGGAAGCATACATGCCTAGACTGTGCATAGCTGGACCAATGGCGTGCTCCGGCCTAACCAATATTTAGCGTTCATACACGCGGCGGGGTCCTGCCCTCAGAAACAGTGTCTGTTGTCCGGTAACTGGGTAATCCGCGCGAGTAATACCTCCCGCCGGAGATAAGAGTCGCAGGAATTCCCAACGACCTTTCAAGTAGTGGTATCAACTTGTGAGACCCAGAACTCCTCCTATCCACACTCGGACGCGGTCGATCCATCGACCCAGACACTAACCTATCCACGGCTGATAGTGGCCGGTCGACAACAGGCACAGGTATGTGCGCAGGAAGTGGTTTATCCACTACAGCTACAGCACTGGTACCGCCCAGAACGGGTTCAGCCTTTTCCACAGGTGAGTTTGAGGGATCGGATCGTGACAGGCTCATCACGAGTTCGCTTCTCCGGGCTTGGCGGAGGGAGGGAGAGATCTGCATGGAGTGTGAACGATCGAGGCCGTTCGGTCGCAGACCGGGGCCTGAGTCAGCGTCTATCCAAATCGAGGGAATGGCAGTTCGAGGAAGACCTGCTGTATGGGGAGGTTCAGGAAGGGAGACTGTCGGTTCCGGAGCGCCTGCAATGCCAAAGTTAGAGAGTGATGGAAACATGACAAGGATACGTACGGTTAGGTAGCTGTTTTCGTAGTGGGCGGGAGTACTCTGCGCCGCTGTCCATATCAAGGAACGAGCATCCTTGTAAGGCGTCTGGAAGTGCAGGCATGGGTGGTGGTTCATCTTGTGGAAAATGAGATGCCGTTGGGGTGCGCAAACCCTTAGGTAAACGGAGACTGGCATTGGATGCAGTGCGTGAGCGTGTCTTTGCTGCGGATAGACGTGAAAGCCGGTTTGGGCCATCTTTGGATCGTTTGCTGCGAGAAGATTTTACGGATTTAAAAGACTTGACGGACTTGACGTCGGATGGTACATGCTTCACTTGGGAGACAAGAGTGGCTTTGGATAACACAGCTTTAGCAGTGACACCCATGACTTGTGCGATGTCGGTGTTGATGGTAATGTCTCCCAGTGTTTGGGTGTCATCGATATCGTCCACTTCCTCGTCGCTCTGATCCATCTCATCAATCTCGGCAGCCATGCCCTCCGCTTCTCTCCAGGCCTCCTCGAGCTCGTCCTCGAGCGTCTGAATACGCGATAGCGCGCGTTTCATATCTTCTCCCTGACGCTCGAATGCTTTGTTTAGTTTGCGGAGTGCAATCCCGAGAGCTGACGCCCAATGTCGGTGCTGAACCACCGAGATTTGGGCCTGTTGGTCTGACATGTGCAAAACGGATGCAAGAATAGAGTCGCACGAAGCAATAGAAGTTGCAACTTGGGATATTAAGCCTCCCAATACATTCTCTTTATCACTTTCTCCCGAGCTGGCAAATACACCCGCACATGAATTGAGCGCCTGCATGAGCATGGTTCGTCTATTCATTTCGAATCTCCATTTAACTTGCGCTGCTAGGCGCTCTTCTTCGAGACGCTCTGCTTCTTTTACCATGTCTGTGTCGAGCGCCTGGAGAGACAGGAGACGTATGAAGGACTCTTTTGCGCTTAACCTGATGGCACGTGAGACTATCTCCTGTAGTTCAGGTGAGGTGAATGTCCATTGGGCGGCCTCATAGGGAAGGCCCTTCCAAGGAATCTGCACGGATTCGAATGAAACTGTAGGCGGGGGCGCAAGGGGAGGAGGAGGCTGGAATGTCGTTACCGATGGTTTTGACTTGAGCGTTACTTTCAGCTTTTGAGCTGGAGGTGTCGCTGCGGGCGGTAACGAGGGAGATGGAGGGCATGAGGCAAGATTTTGTGACACTTGGATGCCAACGTCTGATGTCGCGCGCGTGTGTAAAAAAGCGCCCGATTGTGGCAGACACTGCGGGAGCGAGGTATCGAGGGAAGATGATTGGCTTTCGTCCAACAGGCCTGGAGAAACTGGACGGAGCGAGGGAGAAGTGATTACAGGAGATGTCAAGCCGGAGGTAACGACAGAAGAACATCCGTCGGTGCTAGAGCTTCCGTGGGGACTGTTCATATCTACCGAATTTTTTGTGCGGGAGCGCAAGCGTGGGCCGTTTGGCAACGGAGGCCGAGAGGGACGGTCTCGCACAAGTGAAGGACGACGGGGAGATTCAAAATCTGATGTGACCAGATCCATAAGAAGAGGACCACACACGAAATTGGAACCAGATGGCTGGTAATTAACTATATGTTGCAATGAAAGTCAGCTAGTGTTATAATAGTAGGCGTTGAGGCGGTCGAAAACACAGACTTGGACACATGGCACGGCATGACCAAACCCCAATTATAACCGCTGTCCCTTGATGCTGCCGTATGTCGATGGGACCCGAAATAAAATTAAATGTAAACGGATGAATCTAATCTAATCAGCGACAATTTCATGGTTCAACGTTTTGAACAGGATGGCCCGGTCATCGTTCCCGGTACAGGATCTGACCTGACCCCGTTGATCAGTGCCAGACGTGAAAGCTAAAAAAGGAAATTTATGATTAAAAAAAATGTTATGTTTTTTTTGGTGCAATGCCCGCGAATTTCGCATGATTTATTACTCGTCCAACACAAGTCCGCGAGGCCAATTGGCGGTTTAGTCGCAGTGACGCAATATTTGTGTTGCCATTAAGTTCTTCCAGGGTCATGAACTGACTGCGTACTACGGCATATCCAGATAAACGAACTGGAAATGCGCCGTCGCGAAGGTATTATACTTCCCTCTCACGGACGTACTTAGAAGAGCGAGGCACACGGAATATGGCTCAACAAAGAGAGAAAACATCGTGGGTTTCTTTGTGATCATGATTCGAGAAGCTCACTTTATTCGTTCATAACATACTATCATTGTAGGCTCATCGGTGCTAATCATCATCACCACCGCCAACAATCTAACATCGCTTGCCCATCGTGCTATAAGTATGACCTACATGTTTTGTACGTTTACCACGTTGATATTTCTCACTAAACCATCCAGTAGACCAAAACCAAGTCTACTACACGTTGCAACTAGCAGATCCGAACTTCATCAAACATAATTTTGTTCGTTTCAATCGGATACAGCTGAAAACACGCCTCCAGCTGCTTACTCTTACATACATCCTTGCTTCACTTTCACATCACTGCATTTCCCACTTAAATACTACAAAGCATCCCTCATCTGACCCACCGTAAAGCAACGTCTGTCTACTATGGATGAAATCACTATTGGCTCATGGGATCACTCGCCGTCCCTTCCTATTCCTCTCGACATACTTTTCGATATAATTCAGCATCTTCCTATCCAAAGTGTCCTGGCACTACGGCAGGTTTGTCCCCCTCTTTCATTTCATTTCACGGGATTTTTAATCTGATTTCTATTTTCCAGGCTAGTAAAAGTTTTTATGCTATCACCCGTCTGCGCAGTCTCTGGGCTCTGCTTCTGCGGACTCTTGTCCACGAACAAAACATCCCTATACCCTACTTCGATGGAAAATCCCTCGACTTTTTGTCAGCCTTGGAGCTCGAGCGGCTTACATGTTGCGCACTCGCTCTTCGCAGCAACTGGACCAACCCTGATCCGGATGCGAAGAGAGAAGTTGATTTTTACAAGCCCACCGAGCCAGATTCGCGCATCATTTTCATGGAGTTTCTCCCTGGCAGAGGAAATCGCTGGCTGATTTCCGTCACGATGACTGCGCAACCCAGAAAATACGTTATCCAGTGCTGGGACGTTGCTGTCCTACAACCCGTCTGCATAGCAGAGCTGACACACATGGAGGGGCCATATGGCGGTATTGTTATCAATGACGATCCCTCTTCTCCAGCCATCATAGCGATGCAGTCGGCACTGTGAGTGTAAATAGTAACACCCGCTTCAAGGTTCTTGCTGATTGTTTATCATAGAACGGAGATACTCACCATCGACTTCGAAGAAGATGACCCCGAGTCAGCATTCGTTCCGCTGAATGCCATTGACGGAATTAGAGAGATTCACCTACTCAGTGGGAATACTCTCGTCACTCGGCGTCCAGAAAACGGCGGAGAAGTGAGCATATGGGACATCAGCGATCAGCCTTGCGAAAAAATCCAGCTGGTGAACCCCTCACTATTACAGGTTAGCTTATGTTTTCCTTGTAATTCCGCACGTTACTGAGTTCTATGATTTGACAGAACGATCGCTGCCAAGCAATGCATCTTTGCGACGATTACATGGTAATCGTCCGCCAACAGACTGTCGAGCTCTACTCGACCATTCCCCGACCCAACATCATTGCAATGCCAGGAGCACCAATCTCCTACCCACTCGCACAGCACACCTTCCAATGGCCCACAGAGACCGTCAATATGTCAAAGCAAGTCAGCTGGCCTGCTGCGCGTTCCCACCGCCCCTCGCCGATCAACATCGTCGTTCGATTTGGAAGCATCTACCCTTGGCCGGTGAACATGTTGCATCATTTTGTGCTTAACCCAAATCCCGCGTACTTCCCAGGGCGGGAGACTTCTCTATACAACCTTCCATACTTGGTGCAGCCCTCTCCAGTGCAGACAATAGGCTCTCCAGTGCGTTTGTTTGCTCCGTCGTCCGTTGCTCTCGGACGATATGGTACTGTTCTCTGGCTTGATAGCCATACCGAAGACTGGGCAGGGCCTAGCGACTGCGGTCAGCGACTTGCAGGACGGATACTGACAGCTACGGGAGGATTCCCGACTAGTCAGCATGGCTCACATGATTCCATGGTATTTCGTGTACGAGACGACGACCAGTGGAACAAAGTGGCAGTTGATGAGGAGTCTGGGAGAATTGCAGTTGGCTATGTGAACGGTTCGATAACGCTCTTCGAATATTCTTAACTTTGTTTCTTCATTTGCTCTTGTTTGATTACCGTGTTTTTGGCATGGTCATTCTTCTCGATACCCACATCAAACTCACATTTAGCATGTTTCACCGTTTTTTCCCATCATTGTCATTTTATATCCCTTGGCCAATAATATATGAAAGAAAATTCATTGCGGTGGTGTACAACTGCGTGCTTCGTTCCTGCTAGGTTCATTCCGAAAGGACCACAGTTATTCCAAGTCACAGCCGATATATATCGCGTTAGGACGCAATGAGGACCTGGAAACCAATATGTGCCGTGTCATAATGCCATACTCGGACCGCTGACGGCGTCAGTCCAAGTTCTATGAATGTTTTGCTAAACTGATCGCGAGAGAATGTTTTCCTATTGGGAAAATTATGAACCCTCGGTACTGGGTACAAGGCGCAACAAGAGGCAGACTGACCTGGGCGAATGTGACGGTTTCCACATCGACGGAAAGCGTCTGGGCAGCTAAAAATTCAGCGACTTCACGTAACGCTCGCAAGATGTGTCAGTTCACAAGACGTTCGTGTGTGCAGGGAGGAGATGAGACATGCTTGCGTCACTTGGCAAAGTGGTCGTGTAAGGCGTTCCCCTACTTGCCATACGGATTTGGAGATGGGTGTCTTTGAAGTCCTTCCCACTTGTGCCGCTGGACGAGGGCGCTGTTAGTGCTGGAGTGGCTGACGCAGTGTCTGATGAGTCAATCATTGATCGGACGTCACGTAAAGCTTTCTCCCTTGCGGCCCTCACTGCACGAACTTTCTTATCTGCCTCAATCCGGGCCAAATCTACCGTGGCCTTGGCTCTGGCATCCTCAAGCTTCTCTACCGCACGCGGTTAGATCGGATTAATATTAATATGGATAGAATCCATGCACATGGCAACCACCTATGTTTCTACCCACCTTCTTTCATGAGCTCTTCGGCCTTCAGCTCATCCTTCAGTTCGTTAATGTCCAGATCTGATTGAACTTCTAAAACACAAATTTCACCAAGTACGCGACTAGACTCACCTTGCCAGACTTGAAACGAATAGCTTCATTCGCACGTGCTTCTACGGCTTCTTGTTGAGCCTTCACGCTGCGCTTTGCAGCTATCTTTCCCGGAGCTCAGCCAACTTCTGCTGCTTCTCTTCCTCCATAAGTGGCTTTATCTGAGGGTCATCTGAGGTGAGAGATACGGCACGCATGCCACGGGGTACAAACCTCTTCCAGACTCCTCAAACGGATCATGGCCACTCTTCTCGACATGGTAATCAGCCAACGCCGTGTTCTTGAATACTTTGCCGCATTCTGAACATTTGATACCCTGATAAGTGAGTGTGCTGAAGATAGAGGCTTCAAAGCCGCGATTGGACTTGGCCCTTGTTTTAGCGTTCGATATAGCACCCGGGCCCCCAGCCTTAGTTCCTATCAAGTGCTGCAGACATCAACATCAACATCAACATCAACAGGATTCCCTGCGCTGCCCGATGCACTCGCAGGAGAAGCGGCGCTCGAATCTGGAGTAGGCTTCCCTTCGATTTCCAGAATGTGATCCACAGCAGGCTGAAAACTACGATTATTGGTCGCTCTCAATGTCCCCAGTGACTCCCCACGTATCAAACAATTTGATCTGTACCGAAGAGAGTGCGGGTGGCCAATACTTGTCCTCGAGTTCGTATAATTCCATCTGGGCCTGCGAGGAAGGCAAGGAGATGAGAGGCGTACATAGACAACGCGGGACCACAATATGCTACCCCGGTTCGTCACGACTGTATAAGTGGAAGAATCATGGGTCATTTCATGCGTGGCTGCAGCCACCGGCGTTCGAGTGTGCAAGCTTAGAGAGGCGTATTGCCCAACGTGTGCTTGAGCATGGTGGTACAGCTTCGTGACGAGCTTCGTGACGAGTTTCAATGGCCCAACGTTATTTCCTGGCTCGCATAATCCTGGCTAAGGTGTACCATTCCTGGTAATGAGCGGGTTGAATCAGACTAGCGAGATAATGACTAGCGAGAACAAGTACCCCTCGAGTTCCTCCTTCGATAACCATTCCACACCATCTAGATTGAACTGCGCTTGATGTGCCATATCGAGGTACTTGTGCGCGTTTTTGCTTGCTTCTCTGTGAACGAGAGATTTATGTGTCCACCTTCTACTAGGTCAATATCGCTTGCCCAGCCATTCTCCTCTATGAATTTGACGAGTAGAGAAGCGGTGTTGTTCGAATCTATACGACTTAATTGCCTCAACCGTGTCGAATGTTGCCTGACGTTGAGCAAACTCGAGGAAAGCGGCCGGCCTAAGATGTCCACCGTGCCTTCCTACAAACAATATTCTCCACACCGTGTACTAGATGTCCACGGGAGTTCGCGCCTTTTTGGCAAAACGGTTATTACTCCATATCGCACAAACAAACAAAATTAATTATTTGACAGTTCGATAGCGTGACATCGAAAGTACAACGTCTGCTAGTTTCTTTTTCGAAAATTGACGTGTTGAGTCCAGCGGAGAGTTACCGCGCAGAAAAGTGCATTTTCCCTAGAGTTCGCGCACTTCGTCACACTATGTCACACGTCTGCCGCAATGCCTTTTCACGCTCCGCAGAATTCGCACCGTCTAATTGGCCTGTGCGGAAGGCAGAGGAAGCGCGGAGATAACCGGTGCAAACGCGACTCCCTGCAGACGACAGGGAGTCCTATGGAGATTTTAACTAGTAATACATGAATAGTGAGCCTAGCCAAAACCTGCGAGAAAAATGGAACGCTCCGACAACTGGCAGGATAATAATAATACATAACGATAGGAAAAGACCAAGAGAAAGAAATTAAGTCTCGACCGCTATACACTATAAATAAGGGAGGGATGGGAGGGAAAGAAAAATAAATGATTGTGGAAAAATAAATAAATAAATATTGAGCGAAGCGATGAAAGAGACACACCAAAAAATCAATTTCCCGGTCCATCGTGAATAGAATGCCCACCAAACAGCAGGGCTTGCAGCAAAACAGGGTTCTTCCGAACATAGCGTTCCCATGTATCCAAACGCCAGCGCCCAATCCGCTGAATGCTGGAGGGTGAGACACCAGCAGCGGCCAGTGTTACGTCGACTGTAGGTCGGCGTAGTGGGAACTAGGATAGTTCTTCTCAGCGACGAGTCGAGTGACTCTACTGAAGCTGAGCGTGGTCTGGCCTTGACGGAACGTCAAGGATTCCTCCGGCGATCTCGGTAAGACGGCGCTCGTCGAGATGCAGGGCTAGCGGATACGTGCAGAGGCGTATGGGGGCGACTCTGAAGTGCGGTCTCACACAAGGAAGCTTTGTTAGAGCTAAGATGAGCAAGTTCTTGGTAGAACCTAGTAGATTAAAGTAAAGATCAATCTACAACAATGTGCCTACTTATACATAGTGTATGTAGGTGTTCAAGCTCAGTCTGTAATCTATAGTATATCGTACATCTAAGATAACCAGACATGAGGTTAGATAAAGTACATGAGGCTTAACCTCTGATCATACATGCAGCACCAAGTGCAGCTGCGCAGTCAACAGGAGGCGCGTAGAAGCGCTCCGGATCTTCATGAAGCGGCATGCTGTATACATGCGCTGATCTAGGGTGTCCATGAGGCGTACAGCCTCCATGGAACAGGTACAAGGCCGTCTAGGCCAGGGGCGGGGTCATAGCATCAGGCGGGGTCATAGCGCCATGAGGCGGGGTCATAGCGGTCCAGACCGCTGTTGTTCTAGGCGCAGGCGGCGCACCGCCGCGCGGGGAGTCTAGCAGAGCGGGGGCAGGTGTAGGGAGAGCTGGGGCTCTAGCAGGTGTTACAGATCCCTGTAACAGCCAGAGAAGTCGCACCACCAGCACGCAATGAATGTCCCACAATGGACACATCAAAAAATACGCGCAAACGGCGCATAATGTTACGTCGACTGTAGGTCGGCGTGTGCGAACTAGGATAGGTCTTCTCAGCGACGACTCGAGTGAGTCTACTGAAGCTGAGCGTGGTCTAGCCTTGACGGAACGTCAAGGATTCCTCCGGCGATCTCGGTAAGACGGCGCTCGTCGAGATGCAGGGCTAGCGGATACGTGCAAAGTCGTATGGGGACGACTTTGAAGTGCGGTCTCACACAAGGAAGCAGTTAAGCTAAGATGAGCAAGTTCTTGGTAGAACCTAGTAGATTAAAGTGAAGTTCAATCTACAACAATGTGCCTACTTATACATAAGGTATGTAAGCGTTCAAGCTCAGTCTGTAATCTATAGTATATCTCTAATCTAAGATAACCAGACATGAGGTTAGATAAAGTACATGAGGCTTAACCTCTGATCATACATGCAGCGCCAAGTGCAGCTGCGCAATCAACAGGAGGCGCGTAGAAGCGCTCCAGGTCTTCATGAAGCGACATGTGGTATACATGCGCTGATCTAGGGTGTTCATGAGGCGTACAGCCTTCATGGAACAGGTACAAGGCCGTCTAGGCCAGGGGCGGGGTCATAGCGCCTTGAGGCGGGGTCATAGCGGTCCAGACCGCTGTCTTTCTAGGCGCAGGCGGCGCACCGCTGCGCGGGGAGTCTAGCAGAGCGGGGGCAGGCGTAGGGAGAGCTGTGGCTCTAGTAGGTGTTACAGATCCCTGTAACACATAAACCATACCCACGAGGGAGGTTTACCATTGTTACGCAACCAAAGGAAAGGTTGCAGTGGGAATTTGAGATCCCGAATGGCCAGGTAAGCCGCGAAATTTTGTAGAGGGTCAACGGGGCCCTCACACCGTTGAATGAGAACTTCATTTCCTTCGAAATGAACATCCGCTTTATCACGAGGCAGAAGAAACAAAAAATAATCAGCATTTAAACGAACTGAGTGACGCAGAGACAACTTTGCATAATCACGAAGTTCCAGTTGGTCCGGCCACACCAATTCCCCTAAACGCATGAGGCCGAAGAAACCACATAAGAGTTGAGACAGCCAGAGGATGTCGTCATATGACAAAGGACGAGGCATGGTAGAGGCCACGCGAACAAGGTCGTCCCGCAATAGAGGATGTTTCTGATTTGCAGGACGTGTTACAGGCATCCGTAACACCTACAGGAGCCCCAGCTCCGCCTACACCAGCCCCCACTCTGCTAGACTCCCGACACGGCGGAACACCGCCTACACCTAGAAAGACAGCGCCTGGACTGCTGTGACACCGCCCCTGGCCTAGACGGCCTTGTACCTGATCCATGGAGGCTGTACGCCTCATGGTCACCCTAGATCAGCGCATGTATACCTCATGCCGCTTCATGAAGATCCGGAGCGCCCTTGGCGCCTCATGTACTTATGCGCAGTCGCACTTGGCACTGCAGCTTGATCAGAGGTTAAGCCTCATGTACCTTATCTGAACCTCATGTCTTGTTATCATAGATCCTAGATATACTAGAGATTACAGACTGAGCTTGAACACTTACATGTAGCACATATAAGTAGACAGATTATTGTACTTAGACTTTACTTTAATCTACTAGGTTCATCCCAGAACTTGTTCAGCTAAGCCTCCCAGCTCAGCTGCCTAAGACCGCACTTCTAAGTCCCTCCCCGCTTCTTAGCCGTATCCGCTAGCCCTGTATCTCGACGAGCGCCGTCTTACCGAGATCACCGGAGGAACCCTTGACGTTCCATCAAGCCGAGAACCACCCTCAGCTTCAGTAGGCTCACTCGAGCCGTCGCTGAGAAGACCTATCTGTTACGTCGACTGTAGGTCGGCGTAGTGGGAACTAGGATAGTTCTTCTCAGCGACGAGTCGAGTGACTCTACTGAAGCTGAGCGTGGTCTGGCCTTGACGGAACGTCAAGGATTCCTCCGGCGATCTCGGTAAGACGGCGCTCGTCGAGATGCAGGGCTAGCGGATACGTGCAGAGGCGTATGGGGGCGACTCTGAAGTGCGGTCTCACACAAGGAAGCTTTGTTAGAGCTAAGATGAGCAAGTTCTTGGTAGAACCTAGTAGATTAAAGTGAAGTATAATCTACAACAATGTATGTACTTATACATAGTATATCTAAGTGTTCAAGCTCAGTCTGTAATCTATAGTATATCGTACATCTAAGATAACCAGACATGAGGTTAGATGAAGTACATGAGGCTTAACCTCTGATCATACATGCAGCGCCAAGTGCAGCTGCGCAATCAACAGGAGGCGCGTGGAAGCGCTCCGGGTCTTCATACATGAGGCGCCAAGGCGCTCCGGATCTTCATGAAGCGACATGCTGTATGCATGCGCTGATCTAGGGTTACCATGAGGCGTACAGCCTCCATGGACCAGGTACAAGGCCGTCTAGGCCAGGGGCGGGGTCATAGCATCAGGCGGGGTCATAGCGCCATGAGGCGGGGTCATAGCGGTCCAGACCGCTGTCTTTCTAGGCGCGTGCGGCGCACCGCCACGCGGGGAGTCTAGCAGAGCGGGGGCAGGTGTAGGGAGAGCTGGGGCTCTAGCAGGTGTTACAGATCCCTGTAACACTATCCTAGTTCGCACACGCCGACCGATGTCAGCATAACAGGACGCCCAAACCGACGCGCGGATCCCTGCAAAGAGCGTTTGACGAGTTGAGATTGACGGATTTGACGAATGGAAGGGAAATAAGGTTCCAATTGACTGACAATTCCCGACAAATAGCATTCAACAGACCGAGGTTGTATGTGTTGGCACATGTAGACCACGTAGAACAATAATGTATCAGCATTGGGCTCCACAGCAAAACGATGAGTCGCGCAGAAGGACAAATAAGAGTTGAGATGAGACGAGTAGGCTTGGGAAGTCGCAGGATCAAGAGCAAAACCAAGGGAGATAGAACGCTCAAGAATGAGACGCTCTAGAGACCAGGCCTCCCAGAGTGGCTGCCTGGCATTAGTGGACTGAGTGATCATTTTTTCGATGCCCCCAGCGCATTCCGAGGGGGTTGAAAAGGTGAGATGATTAAGCCCGGAGATACCTGATAAGCTTCATCATTCTTCCAGCGCGAAAGGCAATCAGCAATGGTGTTGTGTATCCCTGCGACGTGAAACACACGTAGGTCCACATGCGAAGCCAGGATAGCGTCCATAGCGACCAACAATAACCAATTATACGGAGGAAGTGCAGCGAGGGTGTTAAACATGGCGACCGAGTTCATGTTGTCCATAAACACTGCTAGACGGTCGTAAGAATGAAGCCGGTCAACCACATTAAGAATAGCGGCGGTGACGGCTAGAGCTTCGAAGAAGAATATGGTGCTGGAAGGACATCCTTCAGGTAGGCGAGACTGAAAACCAAGGTTCAAAGAAGGGAACCAAAATCCCATTCCGTCCCCAGAGGCATCAGTATAAATGGTTAACGTAGCCTGGGACATATGATGAAAGTCCCAGGCAAGAGAGCGTATGAAATAAATTCCATCTGACGTAAGGAGATGATTGATGACCCATGTAAGCTCTCAAATGACATCTCTGTTCACCCCTTACAATCGTTACCCTCCAGGCGAACCTCAAACTCCGCTATAGGAGAGGAGGAGTTTGAAAGATGATCGGGAGTGTTGCCTGACGAAAAACAGGCCTAAAAAGAATACATGTGGCTGCGCGACCATAGTAGGGCTTAAGCCAGCGCACACGCAGGCCCATGAAGTAGAGGACGAGTCTTATTCAAGACTCGAAGTTCCACGACAGACACGCAACCGCTTGTCGGCCAATTAGCTTCGTATAACTTATATTAAACCCAATTAAATGTTGTGAAGTTGTGCATGTGTAAAGCATTTCGGCATTGCGGAGTTTTGATTACACAGTCTCTATGTAACACTTTGGGCAGATTGTCACGTCTGGGGCTTATTTCTTTATCGCAGATGCATCCTGACAAGCATGTGCCCTGAATAAATTTGTTTTAGTATTCTCTAATCATGTATATAACCATCTCACAATATTCCAGAATTATATGTGGAGATCTGACCTTTAGAGTGAGCCTTCTATGCCTCTCGCACTGATAAGTTGCCCATGGAACAAGATCTACTTCGATTTTCTTCAAAAAAAAAATATGGCAGTGTGTATTATGTTTGGGCGAATTCAGATCTATCATGGATAAGGATTCTGTGCAGAATTGCGTGTGCTAGAGTCAATGCGTGGACTCTTAGGACACACAGACTCGTGGGACCATCTAGTAGTGCTCCACGCACAAGTCGCTCCTGAGCCCAAAACGAGTCAGTACACTGAGTACAGTATGATGAACTCATAATAAGCATAGGACAAACTGACAGAAATCTCTTGCCTCGAGTATCACGATGCTGAACGGGTGTTCAACAAAAAGGACCGAATTTGGAATAAGCATGTTGAAATCTAAATTAAGAATTTCCAAATCTCAGTGACCCAACTTGCGTCTGTCCACTACAAGTCCACTATGAATGAACTTACTATTGGCTCACATATCAGGGATCGCTCGCCATCCCTTGATACTATTCCTCTCGACATACTTTTCGATATATTTCAGCTTCTTCCTATCCAAAGCGTCCTGGCACTACGGCAGGTTTGTGCCCCTGTTTTCATTTCACGGGGTTTTGTATCTGATTTTTATTTTCTAGACTAGTAAAAGTTTTGAAGCCATCACCCGTATGCGCAGTCTCTGGGCTTTTTTTCTGCGGACTCTTGTCCAGGAGCAAAACATCCCTATACCTTACTTCGATGGGAAATCCCCTGAGTCTCTGTCAGCCTTAGAGCTCGAGCGGTTTACATGTCGTGCACTTGCTCTTCGCATCAACTGGACTAACCCTAATCCGAATCCGAAGAGAGAAATTCATTTTCACGTTGGGGCGGCCGTGAAAGATCCCAACGTTTTCTTTATGGAGTTTCTCCCTGGCAGAGGAAATCGTTGGTTAGTTTCTGTCACGAGCGAGGAATTCGAAAAATGTATCATCCAGTGCTGGG